GATACTGACAGACTCAATGAATTCAAGATAGCTCTCAACAACAGGTTCCAAGCCTTACAAGATCTACTGAAAGAAGAAACTACTATGGAGGACAACTGGAAAGGCATCAAGGAAGCATTAACTTCAACATGTCAAGAGGTTCTGGGCCTCAAGAAGCATCATCATAAGGAATGGATCTCTATAGAAACTCTGGACAAGATCAAAGAAAGGAAGAACAAGAAGACAGTAATTAACAACAGCCGAACACGAGCAGAGAAAGTCCAAGCACAAGCTGAATACATAGAAGCAAGCAAGCAAGTGAAGAAGAGCATTAGAACCGACAAGAAGAAGTACGTGGAAGAACTAGCAACGACGGCAGAAAAAGCTGCAAGAGAAGGAAATATGAAACAACTATATGGTGCAACGAAGAAACTAGTGGGGAGATATAGTAAACCAGAGAGACCGGTCAAAAACAAAGAAGGCAGGCCAATCTCTGAAATTCAACAACAGCTTAACAGATGGGTAGAATACTTCGAGGAACTCCTGAATAGGCCGGCTTCAATGAATCCACCGGACATCGAGGCAGCACACATCTTCCTATAGATGTCAACCGGCCAACGAAGGAAGAAATCAGAATGGCCGTCAGACAAATCAAGAACAGGAAAGCAGCAGGACCCGACAACATACCAGCAGAAGCACTGAAATCAGACATCGAAGCAACCACAAGCATGCTTTATCTTCTATTCAAAAAGATTCGGGAGGAGGAACAAGAGCCGATGGACTGGAAAGAAGGACACCTCGTCAAGATTCCAAAGAAAGGAGATCTGAGCAAATGTGAAAACTACAGAGGCATTACACTACTGTCAATACCAGGGAAGGTCTTCAACAGAGTATTGCTGAACCGGATGAAAGATGCAGTAGACGGCCAACTTCGAGATCAACAAGCTGGATTCCGTAAGGATCGATCTTGCACAGACCAAATTGCAACACTACGGATCATCGTCGAACAATCAGTTGAGTGAAACTCGTCACTATACATCAACTTCATTGGTTATGAAAAGGCATTCGACAGTGTGGATAGAAGGACGTTATGGAAACTTCTTCGACACTACGGAGTTCCTGAGAAGATTGTCAATATTATCCGGAACTCATACGACAGACTACAATGCAAAGTCGTTCATGGAGGATAGCTGACAGATGCATTCCGAGTAAGGACCGGAGTCAGACAAGGCTGTCTGCTCTCTCCCTTCCTCTTTCTTCTAGTGGTCGACTGGATTATGAGGACCTCGACATCTGAAGTAAAACGCGGAATACAATGGACAGCTCAGAATCAATTAGACGATTTGGACTTCGCAGATGACCTAGCCCTCCTATCGCATAGACACGAACAGATGCAGACAAAGACAGTCAGTGTAGCAGCAGTCTCTGCATCAGTAGGCCTCAGCATACACAAAAGGAAAACCAAGGTCCTCAAATTCAAAGCAGAGAACAGCAATCCAATGACTCTTGATAGCGAAACTCTGGAAGATGTAGAATCCTTCACATACTTGGGAAGCATCATCGATGAACAAGGAGGTTCAGATGCAGATGTAAAGACGAGGATTTGCAAAGCAAGGGTTGCATTCCTACAATTGAAGAACAATAAAACTCAAAACAACTTTCAACCAATATCAAAGTGAGAATCTTCAACACGAACGTCAAGACAGTTCTATTGTATGGAGCTGAAACTTGGAGAATTACAACAACCACAATCAGGAAAGTACAACTATTTATAAATAGCTGTCTACGCAAGATACTCAACATCCATTGACCGGATACCATCAGCAATAGCCTCCTGTGGGAGAGAACAAACCAACTTCCAGCTGAAGAAGAAATTAGGGAAAGACGATGGAAATGGATAGGACATACATTACGCAAATCGTCAAACTGCATCACGAGACAAGCCCTAATTTGGAATCCTGAAGGAATGCGGAAAACAGGAACGCCAAAGAACAGACGAGGTCGGGAAATAGAATGAGATATGAAAAGAATGAATAACAACTGGAAGGAGCTAGAAAGGATTGCCCAGGCCAGAGTTGGACAGAGAATGTTGATGAGCGGCCTATGCTCCTTCATGAGGAATAACAGTCGTAAGTGTGTAATGACCATTTAATCTCAATTCATATTGCATACGTTATTTCTCTTTAATTATTTGATGTAAACCATAGAAAAAATTGGCTTTTATCAAATAAGCCATACAGTAATTACTTTAAAGAATAATTTATCAATATCATAATCACTGTTTCTTTTGTCAATCATTTTTCGGTCATTATTAATGCGAATTCATTTCTTATTGGTTATTTAAATCTTCCCACTGAAGTTTAGGACTTAGATACAGTTCTTAACATCAGTGGGAAGATTAAAACAACCAATAAAAAATGAATTGATTCTTTAACCCATTGCATAAGCTAGTGGCTATTAGAACTCAGTAGCCAATTGGGTAACGTGATAGCGTTTGAAGTTAATTGTACTGGGTTTGACCCCCGGAGTTAACATCAAAACGAATGCAGGTATATCCAGCGAACAAGTTACAAATAGGACGAAACACGCGTCCTAGATTACACCACCAGCCACCAGCCCCCATTAATAATATAATTTCATAACTGGAAAAAACTATTTCCTATTTATAAATTATTTGTTACAGAGATATATCTTGCATTATATAGATAAGAGTATTCAATAAGAATAGTTTTAATGAGACAGTTAATGATCAGTCTATTTTGTAGAATAAATATATATTCTATAAGTTACATAACTTTTAATGAATAGCAGGAAATTAAAAACTTATTTCTGTTAGAAAGCAAATTTAGTACTTATTTCACTCTAATCACCTGATATTGTTAATTATTGTGCTTCAACTGCATCATACAATTGCGCATAACTTATAAATATTGATTTTTATTATTTTGAACATCTTTTGTTGTGAAACAATACACTTATGGCTTAGCTTCTCACCCAAAGAGAATGGGACAAAACGTGTTACTAACCATATATATATATATCAGAGTCAACATCAATCTCTGGTTAATCGATCACTCTTACTTGTCTGTCAAGAATTATTGATAGGTATCTTCAATTCATCCATGTTGTTTGTTAGTTTAGACATTTTAAATATGAAGGAGTAATTTAGTTCTAATATTTTAGGATTCTGTTATATTTCTGTTCAAATTAGATCTCCGGCGTTTACTAACTAGGCACGACTGAGATCTCTTTGAATAAAAATAGGAACTAATGCGAACTCAATAGTAACATTACTGAAACACACAACATTGCAACCATTATTCCTAATACGATGGGACCTAGGAAGAAGATAGGAGTGCGAAAAAAGTGACATTTTATAAGTCGAAGTAAAATGGAAAAAAACTACCCACCAACAAGATATGACTTTAAGGAACAAACGATTGACAAGCCGAAATTGTTATCAACTAAACAGAAAACGCCAAGATCGCGCAAAAATTAGGAAAATTTTTTATCAAAGTTATTTTTTTTATGGAAGAATTAACATTTACTAACAAAGATTTGATAACCTGTGATCTTGACAGGATCATTAGTAGACTTTGTAAATAATTTTTATGAAAATTCAACATCACTCATAGAACAGTTCAAAAACGGGATAGAAATTAACACTATTCTCATTTTAAATTTGTGAACCATAATCTACTACACTATATGAGTTTAGATGTAACACATCTAAACGTCGAAATGATCACAAAACATTTGAATCCCAATTTAGTATTGAATAGATTTGAACTTGAACTTGAATATGATCTATGAATGACTATCCTATTTCAGATTTAACTTTAAATTACATTATTTACATTTATATCACATTAACTTCAAAAGAAACATTGATAAATGAACATCTGTTTTATTGTGTAGGTCATTTTGTTTCTTCAATAATGTAATTACATAAAACGCTAGTGATTATGAGATAATGATATAAAATTGTTGAGTTAGTCACTAACTACAAAAAGAGAATATGTATTTATGTAATTCAACTAATTTTGATGAGTAAAATAATTATAAGGAGAAAAAAAAAATCATGGAAAAGAAAAACATGGCAAATATCTATTAGAAAAGAAGAAATATTAGTCTGAAATAACTAAGATGAAAATTACAAAAAAAAAACAAACTATTACATAATAACGTCCAAAACATGAGGATTAAAATAATGAATCAATATTACAATTACATAAGAGCGCTAATTTCATTTTATGATTCATTTTTCCCCGTATGAATTCATGAATTGAATTAAAAATAGAGAGAGAGGGGGGGAAAGAGGGAGGGGGTTAAGAAGAAATAACAGAGATACATAGAGGAAGGGAGATAGAAAGTGGAATTGTAATAGAAGGACAACAAAAATAATTCATTATTATTAATTGATCAAATGATTTCCTTAACTTTCATGTGTGTGTTTTTTTCAGGTGATTGTATTCACTTCAAACTTCTACATTTTTCTATCTTAATATGAATGAATATTTATCTTGACACATAAACTTCAGAATGAGCTTTGTGGAGATTTTAGTAAATTTCACAGGTTGAAATCATGAGTGAGTTGAAACTAGACCACCATTGAAAACCTGGAAGCACTGGACGAAACGGCCGTCCAGTGCTTCCAGGTTTTCAATGGTGGTCTAGTTTCAACTCACTCATGATTTCAACCTGTGAAATAAACTTCAATTGAGAAGAGCATAAGAAAATACCTTTGATGCACAATAGTAAAGGGTGAAGAAAGTGAACAGTAATCATGATTATTAAGGAATGCACATATTATGGTGTATACATAAACACACTTAGATACTGTATGTATATGCAATTATGATTGTTTTTCATTAAAAATAACAGGAAAATCAATGATGACATATACATAAATTGAAAAATCTGAAAAGATTGTAAATCATATTGAATGCGAATTTCTTCATCTGTTATTTTATTATTATTATTCATTATTATTATTTCTGCTAAAAAAACATCTTTATTTCCTATCGAATACACGATCTACAGAAATTTCTAACTTTGAATTTTTTCTTTGTTTTCCCTGAATTATCCTCTTCAATGTTTTGCTCTTCTGTTGTACACGAATTCACTTCATAATGATCATTGGGATTATTTTCTGGAATCTCCGAATTTTCGGGGTCAATTAAAGCTGAATCAAATTGATAGAGTAGGTTAATAGAGTACAAGATATAAGTAATTAACGAATAAATCACAGATCACTTTTAAACAAACATATATTTATCTTTTAAATCAAGAACTGATCTCATTTAGACCACCACTAAAACCTGGAAGCCTAGGTATCCTAATATGGGACTCCTCAGTAATGGGCATCCATGACCTTGCATTTGCACCAGCGCTTAGCATTTAGACCATTGAGCCGACATCCAACCGCGTTACTATCTAACTTCAATCACACCTGATGTTGTGTAGCCCTTATTGATTTCCTGCGATGGACATTTACCTTACTCCTGACATGGTTGAACTACTCTAGTCGCTTCATATCAAATGAACCTTATTTATTTTTTTCGTCAAAGAGTAAAATTTATCTTATTATAACTTATAAAGTCACATGTACTACACAATTAATCTAATGTGGATTTTCACTCAAGTCATAAATTAAGCTAAACCTGAGAGTAGTTTCAACTACAGGCTTATATGATCTAGAAATCAAATTAAAAAAGACAAAGTAGCACCCAACAACAATTTTTTTTCCCGAGTTTTCTTACTAATCTACACCTACGAACCTGTAAACGATTGATCTTTATTTTTAGTAGTAGGCACTATATTTCTTGATTAATTAATCAAAATTCAATGATTTATATTAATTGTGACATTAATTGCATTAATTAAAGTGATAATCTGTGTTTTGTAATTGATTTTTTTTATAAAAAAGAAAAGAAAAAAAAAGTAGAAACGCAGACTAATTCATGGTCACAGTTAACATCAAAACAAATAACTAAAAAAAAATCTATATCTTCTTAAACGTGAAATAATACACACTTACACAACAGGTTATCATGGTATAACATTCTTGAAAAAAAAATATATACGTAGGTAACTATGACGATAAATAGTAGAATGTTTAAACTGTAGGCTAGCTACAATTATCAATGTTTATTCATAAATAAATGTATAACAAATAGCTTGAATATCTACTTATGACTGAAACGTTCGTTATATTCTTTCACTGTGAGAATTGAATCAGGACTTTATGTGTAATTCGGAAAGAATCACATACAAAGAAATATCTTCAATAATTAGATACAGTAGATGGATATAAGTTTAAGTATGTTGTATAATAACGGATACTAGTAAAAGCCACATTCCTCTTTGATTTATTATTATTATTATTACTCATTTACATGGCTTATATCAAGTTATTGATAATATGCACACAGATTTCGGAGATCTATGACTAAGCTAATCATTCGAATATTTTAGAAAATATATTCGTTACTATTATCCACAGTTTTAAAATTTGTTAAGAAAAACCATCTATATGATTTATAGGCATCAGTGCAAAAGATGGACTTGATAGTTTCAAATAAATTGAGCATCGGATAATAAATATATTTTTTTGTTGTATCCTAGTCAGTGAAAAATTGTATTTTTGACGTTTCGTGATTTAATGTAGGCCACTTCTTCACAGTAACTCCACCTGGAGTCCCTATGGGGGCTACTGCCGGTCCCAACCACGGTTAAAAGAGGACGGTTGGGCATAGGGTTAGCGATCCCATCCCGTAGAAAACTAACTCACTAAAAAAACGCTAGCCAGAAAAAATTATTCAAACCTTTTAAAATCTGCCCTGGGAATCAGGTCTTCATTTAGAAGAACTATGACGCCTCATGGTGAAAACCGAGTTACTTCGGAAGTCACGAGACCGATGCCCCTTCTGACAACTGGAGTAACCATTTATATAGGTACATGGAATGCTCATACAATGTGGGAGACTGGGAGAGTCTTCCAAATTGCTGCAGAAATGAGAAGATGCAACCTAGATGTGCTTGGGATCAGTGAAACACATTGGACGCAAGTTGGACAACAACGACTAGCTTCACGGAAGCTTCTGTTATACTCTGGCCATGAAGAAGAAAATGATCCAAATACACAAGGAGTTGCATTGATGCTGTCCAAACAAGCACAAAAGGCACTTATAGGATGAGAATCTCATGGACCCAGGATCATCAAAGCCTCCTTCAAAACAAAGAATGAGGGCATTACAATGAACGTCATCCAGTGCTATCCGCCTACCAACGACTACAATGAAAACGTGAAAGACCAATTCTACGGTAGGCTGCAGTCAATCGTCGAGAAGTGCCCAAAAAAGAACTTGGCCGTTCTGATGGAAGACCTAAATGCCAGGGTTGAAAAGGACAACAATGGATATGAAGACATCATCGGATGACACGGACTGGGAGAAAGGAAATAAATTGGTGAGAGATTTGCAAACCTATATGCCTTCAATAAACTAGTCATAGGCGGCACTATATTCTCACATAAACGCATACACAAAACCACATTGACTTCACCGGATCACACTATACAAAACCAAATCGACCATATCTGCATCAACAAAAAGTTCAGGAGGACGATAGGAGACGTGCGAACCAAGAGAGGAGCTGATATAGCCTCAGATCATCACTTGCTGGTCGCCAAGATGAAATTGAAACTCAATAAGTACTGAACAACGCGGCGGACAATATCACAAAAGTTTAATACGGCCTTACTTCGGGATATTGACAAACTCAACAAATTCAAGATAGTACTCGGCAATGGATTCCAGGCATTTAATGATCTACTCAGTGAAGAGGGAACTACTATGGGAAGCAACTGGAAAGGAATAAAAGAGGCAATCACTTCAACATGTCACGATGTCCTAGGCCACAAGAAGCACCATCACAAGTAATGGATCACTGTTGATACACTGGATAAGATTCAAGAAAGGAGGAACAAGAAAGCAACAATCAATACCAGCCGAATAAGAGCACAGAAAGCCAAGGCACAAGCTGAATACACAAAAGTAAACAAGTAGTTGAAGAGGAGTGTCAGAACCAACAAACGTAAATATGTAAAGGATTTGGCAATGACGGCGGAAAAGGTTGTAAGAGAAGGAAACATGAGACAATTGTATGATACAACAAAGAAGCTCGCTGGAAATTATCGTAAACCAGAACGACCAGTGAAAAGCAAGGAGGGCAAGGTAATCACTAGCATTGAAGAACAGCAAAACAGGTGAGTAGAGCACTTCAAGGAACTCTTGAATTGACCAGCCCCACTGAACCCACCCAACATCAAAGTAGCACCCACCGACTTCCCAATCGATGTTGGCCCACCAACAGTTGAAGAGATTAGCATGGCCATCAGACAAATCAAGAGTGGCAAAGCAGCAGGACCAGACAACATTCCAGCAGAGGCATTGAAAGCAGATGTAGCAGTAACTGTAAAGATACTCCACATTCTCTTCAGCAAGATTTGGGATAAAGAACAAGTACCGACAGACTGGGAAGAAGGAAACCTGATCAAAATAACAATGAAAGGAGATCTCACTAACTGTGATAACTACAGGGCCATCACTCTTCTCTCAATACCAGGAAAAGTCTTCAACAGGGTATTTTCAAACAAAATGAAGGACTCCGTAGACGACCAACTTCGAGACCAACAGACTGGATTCCGTAAGGATCGATCGTGTACAGACCAAATCGTAACTCTACGGATCATTGTGGAACAATCAATTGAATGGAATTCATCACTCTACATCAACTTCACTAGCTACGAGGAAGCATTTGACAGCGTGGACAGAACAACACTATGGAAACTTCTTCGACACTGCAGTGTGACTCAGAAGATAGTCAATATCATACGGAATTCTTATGATGGATTAAACTGCAGGATCGTGCATGGAGAACAGTTAGCAAAGTCGTTCGAAGTAAAGACCGGTGTCAGGCAAGGTTGCTTACTCTCACCATTTCTCTTTCTCCTGGTAATCGACTGGATCATGAAGACGTCAACATCTGAAGGGAAGCACGGGATACAGTAGACATCTAGGATGCAGCTGGACGATCTAGACTTCGCAAGCGCAACAACAAATACAGGAGAAGACGACCAGTGTAGCAGCAGCTTCAATAGCAGTAGGTCTAAACGTACACAAAGGGAAAAGCAAGATTTTCCAACACAAGATAATATGTATCAATCAAATCACACATGACGGAGAAGATTTGGAAGATGTAAAAACCTTCACATATCTGGGCAGCATCATTGGTGAGCACTGCGGATCTGATGCAGATATGAAGGAGTGGATCAGCAAATCAAGAGCACATATTTACAACTGAAGGATATCTGGGACTCAAAACAACTATCCGTCAAACAACATCAAATTTTCAACACAAATGTCAAAACAGTTCCATTGTTTGGGGCGGAAACCTGGAGAACTACGAAAGCCACCAAGCCATGCAAGTGTTTATTAACTGTTGTCTACTCAAAATATTTCGGATCCGTTGATCAGACACTATCAGCAACAACCTACTGTAGGAGAGAACAAAGCAGATCTCAGCAGAGGAAGAAATCAGGAAGAAGCGCTGGAAGTGGATAGGACACACATTGAGGAAAGCACACAACTGCGTCACAAGGTAAGCCCTCACTTGGATTCCTCAAGGTCAAAGGAGGAGGGAAAGATCAAAGAACACATTACGCCGGGAAATGAAGATAGACATGAGATGAATGAACAAGAATTGGATGGAGCTAGAAACGAAGGCCCAGGACAGAGTGTGTTGGAGAATGACGGTCGTCGGCCTATACTCCTTTACGAGGACTAACAGGCATAAGTAAGTAAGTAATTACTTCTTCAGAATGAACAAAACTATTATATATTCATTATCGCCTTTGTAATCTAGAAAAAACACTTCATTTTATATATTTAGGAGATATTTGTTTCATACCGGGCTAATATGTCTTCCTCATACTTCATCGTTTGTCACAAACATGGGTGAGTACTGTAGAATACGTAATATTCTATAAATTTTCTGATTCTCACGTTATATTTTAGTATATTGTCAAGGAGATTGGTAATTTACTTAGTTGTCTGCAAATCTGCTTGTCAAAATTTAATGAATAAACTATCGCACCTAGTAAACTAAATCCTCTGAAAATTAGAAACCCTGTATTCCGATTCTAGATTTTTAAAAAATCACGTTTATCTTTCATCTTTAAATTTTCATTAGGATTCCTTGTATGGAATCCAGAAATTAGGACTTAGAAACGATGTAGTTCAGCTTGACTTTTATTTGTTTTTCAGCTGATTATAAGTCCTGACGGAAAAAATTACAAAACTACTGATCATTTATGAAAATGCTTCAAAAACGCATCCTGAATAGCATATAGTTGACTTATTCAATGTAGTGTGGCTTCAGTCATTAGGTATTCTCAACTTCAACGATGAAATTGACTTCATACAGTCATTGGAGGTTAACATTTCATTAGGAGTTTTTTCAGTCAAATGAAATGGTACATAGGTTTTTCTATGTAGAAGCATATGCTCTAGTTATTGCAAACAATACTACACTATTCATCAATAACCTATGTAAAAAATCTTATTTGATTATTCCAAAAATATTTTGGTCTAAGTTTTTAATGTCACTCACTTGGACTGGTTAAAGAACAACGATGCTGAGTAAGACGAGGTGTACACAGGTATTTTATTCTCTGCAAAATAAAATTATAAATACAGAATAATTTCATCTTATAATTTTTTTAGATTAGACGACTAGATACTCACAAGTCTACAGCGTATTTGGATACGATCATTTCCAGTCTTTAAGAGCATCAAGTAAACTTAAGTGTATTTACATCATAAAATTATGTTTAGCAATAGTGCATCAAAAAGTAAATACTCAAATTGTCATATGTTTAATTTAGCCTTGCTAAAAAAACCTTTGAAAAAAAAATAGAATTCCTCAATATTACATTTCATTTGGTTTGTTCATGTAAGCCGCTCTCGGTTCGTATATAAACATGTTTTGAAACGTCTATTTTATTCCAAAGACCAATCTTACTACTTTAATCATTTGTAAGTAGTCTGTAATATTGAATAAGTTTTATATGGAATTGTATAAAATCAATCTTTTCCTGAAATTTATCCACGAACAACATTAAGAGCTCCATCACCAAATTTAGGCCACGTAAAACTTAGGCAAATAGTTTGTACAACTGAAAATTTTACTAACAATAATCATTTATTATATATGAAAGTTATATTTGAAATAGTCTCAGAGATTGAAACTTAAATAATTCCAACGTTTCGTCCAGCAAATTTGTCTGAACTTCTTTAGGGTAATAATCAAAATCAAAATCATTAAGGAAATATATATGGCGTTTTAACAATCAAATCAGATCAAATCTATATTGTGTTAATCCAATCATATTGAGATGTTGACTTTAGCAAATAGGATAACATGAGTCGGTTATATGAAAATCATGTGAAAAGTTTTTTTCCTTCATACAAAACATATTGACACCGAATATCATTCATTAGTAAGTCAATCTTACACATAAATACACAAACACAATTTGTTCAGTCATTTATTTTCACATCGTGGACTTTTGGAGGAGAATTCATCAACTCAGCTGAAGTTTTTGAACAATCAGAATACCAAGGTCAATCAACCAGTCTTTAATGCTTTAAGTGTAAAGTTCTAAGCCTTATTTGTCATAATATTAGATAATATCAATTGTTTATTACATTGCTTTATTTAATCAGTTAACAGTAAAACCAGGTAACATGCCTTAATACTTTAACTGTCATTCTAGTAAACAAACTTTTATGTATCTAATATCTGACTACACAATGCGTATATTTCTTCCTATTCACTAAACATCAATTAGGTAGCACACTATTTCACATTGCTCATTTATTTAACTTTTAGTCGCCCGTGATCTGACTCCAGGCAGATCGCGTGAATGATTATTGTTGAAATATACATGTCGCCAATTCTCGTACATTATCATCGACTTAAATTATGTTAGTGAATAACGGAATTAAGTAAGTCAAATACGAGAATAAATTTCGAATACGTGTATTTCATACATTCGTTTATCCAGACAAACGATAAAAGAAACAAAACGAAGAGAACGCAACAAAATGATGCGCGGTGGAGAGGGCATGCAAGCCAACTCGTTTTAATAAAACGTGACTAGATATTTTTAGTTACACAAAAATAGGTTACAAACATGTGATGATAAGAAATCCACACACACGTTTACATAAAAGCAGTCAACTTGGATAAGTGACAAGGTCGAAAAGTGACTCAAGATGAATGAATAGATTGACCTATCCGGAAGCTAGAATAAGTTATGTGGGTTTGGCATTGTAACCGACACCACAAACCTCAAAGTTTTCAACCGGAAAATCTGTTTCTCACAGTTTTACTAAAAAATAATTCACATGAGTGAACTTACTTCTAGAAATGTTCCCGGTGTTCTTATAACCTCTGCCACCATGACACCTGGAATGAAGAACAAACTTGAACTGGCCATCATCCAACCTAATATCACAGACCACTTCGGAAAGTGATATGGTTCAGGTTTGACAGCTCGTATATATGTGAGTTCTTCGTATACAATTACACTGAAGATAAACAGAACCTAAAGTATGAATACCATGGACAAAAATGAGAATCAATCAAAGCAGACAATATGACTGTTAAAAAGGATACCTGAAGAAGTTTGTGTGACCTATTATTATTATTTTACATAACAAATCAGATGTATCAACTTTATGTATACGAATTACAAACCAAACAGACTCTATTCTTCATGCAAAAATTATGTGGACAAAACCAGCCATTAAACAAAGAGTTAACAAATAAAAGTGTCCCATCAAAAATAATCACATTCAAATCGATAGGTTTCTGGGTGACTAAAAAAATTCACGAAGAATCTGTAACTATTCATCCATTTGATTTATTGTTGTAAATGACGAACAAGACGTCACTTGAGATACTGTATTTACCAATCAGTGTAAGAGTTCAAATAATGCTACAATCGTATGGGTAGAATGCATTACTGAAAGCAATTTGAAAATGTGGTCAACGTTATGCCCCTTTTTCAGAGGACCAAGAATCAAATCAACAGGAGATACAATCAAAATGGAGAAGTGAACAGTGATAGGTTAAAGATCAACAATAGCCAATCAATATGGATGTCTACGGAACAAGCTGAGTCATATGTGGAGAAATTTGAACACTTTGCATCTACCTGAATTTTTATGCTGATGATGTCGTTCAGAATAACGACGAAAGCTCCATGACCAAACCATTCACCTCAGAGAACAAAATTCCATCAAAATCATCCATTTGAGCTACAAATCTTCTCCATCATCTCAAAAACTCTTATTATTCTCAACATAACTAACAATATAATTAATCTGCTTCAACATCTGTTTAGCTAGTTTATCTTAATCATATAGATTGTTGATTTTGTAACAAATAAAAACCACTAATTTGTCGTCAGTAGAAGTCAATGATATCATATTCTCACGGTTTCCTTATAACAATTAACATCCAAACATACAAATACACTCATGAATTTTTAACCAAATAAACAATTTGAACATCAGATTGTCACGTGATCTTGCCATATTTAAGCCTTTAATGATATTTTTTTTATTGAACCTTATACACTCTTTGATAATTTTGATTTTGATTATTATTCTGAAAATGTTTGATTTAGTTCATCAGGTGAAACGTTGACAATATTTATATTTCAGTTGCTAAGGTCATTTCAAATATAACATTTAAACATGAATAATAATATATATATATATATATATATATATATATATTAAGGGTAAAAAGAGGTCAAAATATCTATCTCATCACTTACAAATGTAAACAATGGAGTAATAATGCATAGGTATAAACAACAAAACCATTTAAGTGAAAAGCCATACATTGACTTCATATCATTTGCAAACCGTCTCCATCCTAAAAGAAAACAAAAGTTTTGTAAAATGTTAAGAGCGTATTAATGTTTTGTAATGAAAAAACAATTAATTTTAGATTTGGTATATTAAAAAAATTAATACTTAAGGTAGAACTACATATATCTTAATCAATGCAAAACAGAGTACCGACTATAGATCAAGTCAAATAATCAGATTGTATGGATAGGTATATTCTACAGTGTTGACAAAATCCTGAGGTACGAATATGAAATATTTATTATTAATGAAGAATCTGTAAATTCTATAATAACGATAAATGGTTATATTCTAAGTAATGAAATAGTTTTTATATTTTGGTTGATATGAAAATTCATCATCAATTTGATCAAATTTACATCTTTAACAAGCAATAATTGCAGTATTGATCATCTTCTGGTAACTCATTTACTGACTTATTTTCAAAGAATAAAATTAGATTTAGCGCATTAGTGTTTATACATGATATGAATAAGTGAAATGTCATGCTAAGCAATAATCCATACAAACCTCCCACTATAACATACAGATTGAAGTGGTGATATAATAAAATCACTGACAACGTTAAGTTTTTGGTCTGACGAAAAATTCGTAGATTGTATTTCGAGTTAAATACTAATGTTGGCATTATTAAGGTAAAATTTAATGATAAGCAACGTTTCTAAAAGTTATTGTCTTCAGATATATCATATGAGCTATTCAGACTATTGCAAATAACCACAAGCTCACTAGGTATTTTATCTTATACTTATGTATCTGAATGAGTTCATCATGGTTGCACGGTGTATTTTCGTATAACAACTATATTACAAATTATGTTATTCATCATATCAATTGTGTAAAATAATGGTACTTGTACTAGCCGAGTCAAGTAATAAAAAAGTGCCCACAAAAAGCTATTCTGGCAACTAAACACACAATTGATTTATTCCGAACTTCGGAACGAGGAATTATTTTAATTTTTCGATTTAATCTCTATCTCATATATTCAGTGTTGTCACCTACCCATAACTTTGATTATGTTTCGTACATGTGTATATAGTAGTACCCATATATCCATCCACTTTCCATGTTTCTCACTTGATGTATGAAAACAGTCACCTTGTTATTCGCTAAATTGGTGTATTACAGAACTCCAGTGCATTATACAATTATATCTTGTGTTTTTGTCTGACTTTCAGTATAAGTATGAACCCTACACTCGATTCGTCTACGTTTGACAAACCATTGTTCTAAACGTAATAAGTCGACAGAATATATACGAAGTCAAGTAAGATACATATTTCATGAAAGTTGATTTTGGATTCAGACAACGGGGACTAAATGTTAACAAACAGCCAAATACTTACATAATGATTTTAGGATTTGTACATATTAGATTTTTAACATTTTTGTCAATGTTACTTGGCATATATTTATGTTTCTATTTACAGTTATGGTGAAATTTTAAGATGAAATTAATTAAAACAGTTGAACATCTTGTCGTAATCAATCTGGTACCCCTGCTGCTTACACTAGCTAATCAACAACTAATTTGAAAATAGATTAGAACAAGTCATTAAAAGGTTGAAAACGTGCATCACTATTGAGATTCAGCAATCATACCAATTTATCAGACTTATCGAGGTCAAAATATGATGCCTTGTGAAATCACTACCAACTAGGTAGACAAAGGGTGTGCACGTTGAATCATTAACACAAACAGTAGAAAGGGGTAATTTCTAAAGCAAATGTATACAAATAATTCAGTATATAATTTGATGGTAAACAGAATAATCAATATTTATAATTCCTACTAAGGAAAATTACTTCAACATTTTCTATGATAGAAAGTATCGATCTAATTAATTATAAACCATAGAAAATATTTAATCTGGCAAATAAACAATACAAATAAGAAAATCTAATTATACGTGTACAATACAACAGCATTTTTTTTATATTTGACATTTATCATTGAAAACTGCTTCAAAATAGATGTAAATGTAAAACAATGTGTCGTAACATGAACCAATTATATGCTGTGTGATAACTGGAATAATTGATATATATATATATTATAAACAACTATAACTAACTGTGTCATAAATTATTGAAATCAATACAATTGTTGTTTCATATTCAAGCAATACAAGTATGTTTCCAATACATTCATCATGACATAGTTGTGGTCTCGTGTGTGACGAAATCTCAGCACGGATACAGAAGGCTCGACTAGCTTTTGCCAAATTGCCTCATTTATGGCGTACACGAAATATCCGTCTATCAACCAAAGGACGGATTTACTGCTCAGCAGTTCGTTCCGTCCTACTTTATGGCAGTGAAACATGAGCGGTAAGTGTAGAGGATATTCGTAGGTTACTGGTATTCGATCATAGGTGTCTTCAAAGTATTGCTCGTACATACTGGGACCATCGAGTTAGTAATGCAGTTGTTAGAAAACGCGTACCAGGTAAGGATGGCGAATCAATTGATGACGTAGTGAAACGTCATCAGTTGAGATAACTGGGACACGTGTTACGTATGCCCAACTACCGACTGCCCCGACGTGCGATGTTTTATGATGTAGAAGTTGGAAGAAAGCTAAGGGCGGCCAGACCAAAATATGGCACAAATCCACGAAGTCACTGACAAGTGCACAGAGTGAGTCATGTTGGTAGGTGTTGACTAACTGGTTGGGGACCGCGAGATGATAGCAACCGATGGTTAGAGGCCCTGAATGACATAGCTCAAAATCGTTTGCAATGGCGCAGGTACATCCGTTCTTTGTGTTCTCCTGAATCCTCCTTGTCTCTTTTTTTCTCTTTCCAAATTTATTTCACTGGATTATACTCTTTAAATACCACTACGGGATTTGAATCAACAACTGCATCTCTGTGCTAATGTGGTGTGGCAACTCAAACTGATGTACCTACGTACGAAGTTCTACGTTGTTACTAACTAACTGACGTACTTTGAAAACTAAACGATAATACATTTAATTCAACATTATTTTTTTCAATCTTAAAATCTTACCATATATGTAGCCAATAACGATACATTCCAAAAATGTAACACATAAAATTATACGACTACCCGAATAATAATCAAATAATTGAAATATGTACATACCGCCCTAAAGGAAAGAAAAAAACAAAACAGCCATAGTAATAAATAGATAGAATACAATGAATAATCATGGGGAAAAAATAATTCTTTTACAAGAATGAATTGAACAGAAGTAATTCATCACAAGTTTAAACTTTTGATATACTGAGCAAAGTGATTTACTTGGAAAAAAAATAATAAACTACTTTTCTTATTGATCTGTTTGCTTATTGAAAATACAGAAGAAGAAATCAAATAAGGTTAATGTAGTTTAATATTATTTTGACTATCCTATACGCTATTGTTTAGGTTTTTCTTTTAGTATTAGGCTACATCTAGGCTATTAGAATGTACGATTTTCCTTTATATATTTGCATAGTTTATATTACAAACTGATTTTAGTTAGATAACAACTGAAAACCGAGGAAGCTCTGAAAAGCGTGTTATGTTAGTATGTGAATTTTGAACAATCAATATTAACAATCTCTTGTCTCGCAGTGATATTTTAAAAAACCTAGGTCATCTGTAAAGAATCTAGTTGATGAAAATGGAACTTGAACTAAGATAGTACTAGGCGATTATTAATCCGTAGACATTAGATAGTTATTAAGTAAATTCTTCATAAATTGTTATTCTGTTGTTTTCAGTTGAGGTAAACTTGCAGTCAAATATTATGTTCACTCTCGTGCTATGAAGATAACTTTGGCACATTGGTGCTTATTCCTATGTAAAGTTCTAGGTTATTTATAACATATGTGAAGTTTTTTTTTATCAAATCAATAGTGGGATTTCGGTATGAATATCAGCTTGTATATGAAAACATGTTGTTTGTAGTAAAACCTTAAGATTAGTTATTCTTCTTTTAAGTATGTATTTTAACTAAGAAGAGACTAACTACGTCGGCCTAATGATAAGCTAACTTTTTCAACTGATTTTTAAAAAGTATCATTCATCGACTTAGAAGTTACGTAACTTACAATAAAACCGGATTTTCAGTAAACTTTTTGACTTAAATATTGGTTTGCTTGAGAAACAGTTGGTTTGTTCATATATTTAAACGTAAGTTGATAGAAGGTAATCTCCAGGAAGAGTTGAACTTATATGAAATGCTATTCACTACTCATCAACATGAAATATTTATAATTTCGAGGAAACTAATATATTCCGTAAGTTATTAAACATAACTGGCCTCAATACTGCCACCTCATATTTTTATCTAAACAATTAAATATACTTATAAGATTGGCAAAACCATACGTTTGCAATTTAATAGTAAATCCTTGATTTGACGAATGGGCACATCATACCTAATTAACTAATTATAGTTAATGGAGATAAACAAGAAAATTTCGAAGCGTTTTCAGTTTTATTCACAAAGTTCAATTTTATGGTCGGTATGTTTTATTGATGTAAATGTAGTTCCCACCTAATGAAAACTAATATTGAATGGAATTGCTAAAGCATGAAAGTATTCCAACTTTGTATTGGCTGATTGAAAGTTTCCATTGACGTTTAGGGCTACGATTGATCGGTCTGTTATTCGCATATATGAATCCTGTACAGATTGTCTTGATATTGACCTAACTCACGAGCATTATAAGCAGAAGTGGATGGTGGCTAGCAGTGAAATCCATGACGCGCGTTTTGTCCTATTTGGGACTCGACAACTGGATATACCTGCACCCAATATTTGATGAGTCATAAATAAGATAAAACGCGCGTCCTCCATTCTCTTGCTAGACATTATCCATCTCTACTCATGAACATAATCATCAACTTTTGAGATTGTTTGAATTTGATCAGGTAAAGTGCTGATTATTAACATTATGATTTAGTCAGTTTCCTTGCATAATATTGCTAGACAGATATAGATATACGCAGATAATCTATATTATAAACTTACTGCGAATCTAAACATGATCAGTGCAAATCTACTCATATAGTCTACATATGTTATGCCATGTCAGAATTAATTTGAAAGATTTTATTTTCAGTGGAAATTATTCGTTGATCAGCTACTCAGTGTATCATGTTTTAATTTCAACACACCCATGATTATGCGGGATATAAATTTGATGAGAATGATTTAAAACTAACGTATCTTTTTACATGTCTTAAATACACAATTCTGATATAAAACTCTTCCTCCTGTAATTCACATATAGGAATGTGTTATGAAAAAGCAAACCGACATTAGCCAAGAGACACATAAGAAAAATGAATCTCTTTTTTTAGAAAGAAAGTCATATGTACACAATGCTTCTCATTTTTTAGTAATACAGTGGTGTATACTACATTTGGTTGTCCCCAGATGTGTTCTCCTTCACTACAATACTACTAACATAACAATAACTATTTTCATATTTGTTATTAAGCGCACCTTAAATTATTAAGACAAATAATCGCCAATGTACTAACGATACAAATAAATTACAGATCATTCAGCTGAAATAACATGTATAATCAATAACCCTGCATACTTTAAATATTTGACAAAAGGTCTGTAAATATTTAAGTTGTCTTTGTATTATGTGTAAGTTTTATCTGTATGAATGACTCAAGAAAAGTACCTTATTAAGATAAAAGATCAGTTTGAAGATAGTTAACATTTTAGAATGGTATTTGATAAACATTTGTTGATATCTAGAAAACGCTAGACAACTGTCTAAGCTTTACTTGATTCTTCCATATTAGACGCGTTCATAACATTGTACGTTACGCTTAGACTATTAGGTTTGAATTCATTATTTCTCAAATTTAAATGCAGTCAATCGTTAATATTGCATCATCATCATCGTCATTATCATGTACTTCCGTTGACGAATTTCTCATTTCGTATCAGATTGAACATCACTAATCGTGACTTTCTAATTAAAAGCTTATAAAAGGTAAATAAACGTTTTACCAGCCATTCTTTAATGAATTTTTTAAGTCATACTACTACAAATTATTCGCTGTTTTAACCAGAACAGAAACTAACAAAATTTCCATTGTAATAAATTTGTTTTATTTCAAAGGGTTTTAATCAACCTTAACGGCTTAAAATCATTGAGATGAAAGTTATGGATTGTTTTCGTTAGAAAAAGAATCGGAAAATATAATGGTCAATGTAAACCATCGTTGAATCGATTAATTAATTTCATACAGTTTGTACCCTTTATGAATGTGAATAAAGCCAGAACAGACATTGATGCAGAATAATATGAATTCTTTATATTTTGTGGTTTCTAATCAACTGCTTACAACCACATAAGTACAGAAAGTTACCATTGAGGTAATATATAATGTGAAACAACTGACATAAATGAACGAAAAGGTTATCAGTAACAACTCTCACTAAAGATATATATATATATATATCAGTATAGGGTTGTGGAGATTATTGAGTTTAGATTGATATCATGACTAGCACAATATCAGACCACCGTTGAGAACCTGGAAGCATCAGACGGCCGTCTCGTCCCAGTATGGGACTCCTCTGCAGTGCGTATCCACGATCCCACACTCTGAGCTCGAACACAGGACCTTCGGTCTCGCGCACGAACGCTTGATCCCTAGACCTTTGAGCTGGCATTCGACGGTAATGATGTCTAATTTTGGCCAATCCGCGACATTGCGCCACCGTCCACCACTGTCTTTAATGAGTAACTGCGTCACAACAGAACAGTTTAGAGGACATATAGAGTTGGAGTTAGAAACATAAGAGGCGGTTGATGTATCAATCAAATGAGTTCCGTAGAAATACAAAATGGATTGTGTGATAATTTTGAGTTTATGAACTGGAACTAAAGATTGACATAATGGGTTACGGAATAAGCGAAATAGGATTTGAAGAGTTTACATTAGTTGACAGAATTAAGTGAATGAAAACATAGTAGTAAAGGGGTGGTTTTGGTGTTTGTTATATAAGACCATATGACAAAATAAACACACAAAAAATAATGATGATGACAAAAATAAGTTACTGTCTCTTTCTGCATACATAGGTCAGGTCTAAATGTTTTTATTGCTATTGCTTCGGCAAATCGAAAAGACGCTGCGTTCTTTTGTTTGCTGACAATTTTAAAGGCTTTTGGAGTGTCAATGATATGTCCGGTATTAAGTGAATGCCGAGCTATTGCAATCTTTAGAGCCATTTTGTCTATCCCTATCAAGAATTTGGGAACTTGCTCGGAAATGAGAACATGCACTCTTTAATCTGTTCTTCCAACGTATGTATGTGCCTTGGAGCGTAAATGTAAATTGGTAGCCATTGTCATTCTAATTCTTTTCGTTCATTTATGTCAATTGTTTCACATTATATATTACCTCAATGGTAACTTTCTGTACTTATGTGGTTGTAAGCAGTTCATTAGAAACCACGAAATATAAAGAATTCATATTATTCTGCATCAATGGTTGTTCTGGCTTAATTCAATTAATTAATGCTTGATATTGTTGAGATGAATCACATCCAACAGAATAGTAAACAAATAGAGTTTATCTATCAATCAAAATAAATTACTTATATGCGTAAATATCATAGTTTCTAATCCTAACCATACAGAAACATGTACGGAAACAACGTACTAAGATAAAATATTCAAGGTATATATGTATTTCGACAGATGAAGTATTATGCCAAACTATATTATTGATCTGAGTAATGTTTTTTCGGAGGATTTATAACACATCTCATATTCTCAATGGATTCTCAACTGCCAAAAGACACTAACAGAGTAAAAACATAATGAGAATAGAGAAACTCAGTTTTCGCTTAGAATAATCTTTACACTTATGGAAGAATAATTTAATTGCCGACTCACAACACTAGTCATCTAATTTACTAACTGCAATTTAATAGTACTGGACTGCTTTTATTTATATATGTAGTGGATTTTTTCAAACTATTACCGTTTTATCAGCAGAGATGAATAAACGATACGAATGGAATACAGGACGCGCGTTTTGCGCTATTTTTGATTCGTCGGTTGGATGCACCTACATACCGAGGTTGATGTTTACCCCGAAAATTGAACCCGGTACCGTTTGCTTCACATGCTATCGCACTATCCACTGAGCTACTGAGTCCAAATAACCACTAGCTAATGAAATAGGTTGAAATTTAGGATGTGTATATTCCTAAAACAGACTGATCAATTACAGTTCTAAAAACGAATGGGAAGATTCAAACAACCAATGCAAATGACTTATTGTTTCGTTTCTATATCTATCTCATCCTTAGCTAAATTTCTTCTACTATAAAGTATAAACTGATAATTAGTTATTATTCACGTCACAATTAACTCAATTTCGATATATAGAAAAACCGTCAGTTAAATCTTTTAATTGCCTAGTACATCGTATTTTTACGATGGTTTTCAACAAAGTTCAATAGAATACAATTTCAATTTATGTACGGAAACATTCATACTATATATTATATAATCGATGAAGTTACAATCAACTCATCAAAGCTTACTGATGTTTACTAGTTCTGTAACTTCAAATAATAAAGTAATGGTCTAAATCTTATTCAAACTTTGTCTATATCTTGTTTACTCATAAATAATATGTATAATATAAATGTTTTCTTCTCAATATGTTTTATTTAACATAAATATTTACAATCTCACATATGGTTTTGTGTAACAGTATCATAAAATACATATCATAGTGAATAGTCATATTCATTTAGAGAAATATATCTGTCAGAAATAAATAACAGGCTGTTGTATGCTATGAATCTTAAAACTGATTTTCACTATTTTACACTAACAAACACGAATTTCTGGTATATATATATACTAAATGCTTTGAACTACACGACAAAGTTGAAACATGAATTTCTAAACATTTCAAAGTATAACGGATCACTACGTGTACATAATGATTAAACACGTATAGCTGAAAAATTACTTACATTAGTCACCATAAATAATCCAATACCATAAGATATAATACATGTGGCTGCAACAAAACTAACTCGATACCATGGATTTAATATCACTTGAGGTAAGTAATCGGAGATTGCAGCAACAAAACCTTCAACTCCACCAAACTAAAATATTTAACATAGAAATACATAAAGAAAACAATTTATTGATTTATTACAAGAGTCATAAAAACAAACCTCAGCATTTAAAAAAAATGAATCATTAAGGAAGGATTATTTTATAAAATGCCAAAATTAATCCTGTACATATGAACACGTATGTAAAAGCTATAATGTAAATCTTAATCTTGGAACAGTGATTTATCATGAATTCGAAAGTGAACTTTCTTCATGACTTTAAGCATTAAAATTAATAGAAATTAGTGAAAAAACATACATCTATTAACAATACAGTACTTGAACTTTTGTCTTTTTTTTTAATCTAATCATGTTATTCCGTTGAAGCTAATTTTAAAGCAAAGATACTTTAACAAAGATACAAACTAATAATAATAATAATATAGATCGGGGATATTATGTTTTTAATATCCGTTTAATTTTAATTAATCCCTATGAATATGGAAAATTGATTTTTGTTTAATTTCTTTATTTTTTGATTAAGATCTTGAACCAATCGATGTTAGACCATCACAATTGAAAACCTGGAAGCACTGGACGGCCGTTTCGTCCAACTGGACCACTGAGCCGGCATCCAATGATGATAGTTTCTAACATCAACCAATCCATGGTTAAGCGTTCGCGCGCGAGACCGAAGGTATTGGGTTCGAATCCCGCTCGCGGGATCTTGGATGCGCACTGCTGAGGAGTCCCACAATAGGACGAAACGGCCGTCCAGTGCTTCCAGGTTTTCAATTGTGATGGTCTAACATCAATTGGTTCAAGATCTCAATCAAAAACTTAATAATCTCCACAACCCCTATACTAGTAATTTCTTTATGACTACAAACAAAACTTTGAAATTTTTATAATTATAGTTTCTACTCTATGAGTAGTATTAACATTTCTTATCGAGTAAACATTCCAACTATACAATTGAAATTCATAAACAACTTAATCATTTCCGGTTTATGATACGTTTCTTATTGTTTTTATTTTCTTACAAGTTGTTATTAGTTCCTTTTTCTTTTTGGTTTTGTTTACATCAGGTTTTAAAACCCTTATGTTGCTAGCTTAAATTTAGCACAGTTTCTAATGATGGTGATAAAAAATATTAGTCAATATAATAGGGTAGATTTTATAGAAGACATTTTTGCAGAACGGATTTTTTTTTATTATGTTTTGAATACAGTAATTTTATTTTGAAGACTACTTTTGACATGAACTGAAATCATTTGAACAATAAATGAATTTTAAGAAATAATCCGATAGTGAATTTGGGCTAATAAACAATGTTTTAGTAATAATCATACAAGAAATGCATTCATGTTGAAACAGATTAATTCAATGAAATACACATTCTTCTTAATGTAATTTCACATTTAGTATTACATAAACATTTAAAGTCTTCTTTAATGCATCGAACTTCAGTTATACGGAATTATCTTATGTGTAGTCGATTAGATGTTATGGCTTTGTAGATTTAAAAAAAGTGGATTAGTAGTAGATCCACAGCATTCTGATGATTGCTTGTAACTTACTGAAATACATTTTATTAAAAAGGCAGACATTCTTTAATCAGTTGTATTTAATTTTATTTAAATGTTGACGTCATTTTATCAAAGTTAACATGTTTTCATAAATTCCTAACTTGACAGATATTTGTCTCTTAGGTTGCATACATCTTATCAAGATTTTACCAGTATAGATTTTGACATAAATCTAATCTAAAGTACATTTTCAGTCAATTTATTTTTTAGGTTTTTATTCAAATGTTTATTCATTAGCAATGAAACCTAACATCCCTTCAACTATTTAATTATGTTAATAAGAAAAATCAAAATCTCTTTAGATAAAACCTTAACACAGCTAACAAACTCTTAATTAACAACAGTCGTAAAGATAATAAGTGAGCATGACTAAGGTTTTTATGATTAATGTATATATAAATTTAATTATTATCAGAAGGGATTTTGTGAAGATTGTAGTAATTTCAATAGTTGGGATCATGAGTCAATTGAAGCTAAACCACAATGGAAAACCTGGAACCACTACACAGCCATCTCGTCCTATTGTGAGACTCCTCAACGGTGAGCAACCACGACCCCGCCTAGCGGGATTCGAACCCAGGACCTATCAATTGGACACTAACACCGTTGGATGCCGACTCTGTGTTCTAGTGGTTAAGGGATCGCGCGTGAGACTGATAGGTCGTGGGTTCGAATCCCGCGAGGCGGAGTCGTGGATGCGAACTACTGAGGAATCCCACAATAGGATGAAACGATCATCCAGTGCTTCTAGGTTCTCCATTGTGGTCTAGCTTCAATTGACTTATGATCTCAACTGTTGAAATTTAATTATGTTGATGAAAGCTTGATATTAACCGAATCAATTTCCTCAGTTATCTGAGAAGCCTATAGGAAAGAGCTTAACTTTTCAAATGAGTTTTGTCTTCACAATGACAAAGTTTTAAAATTATAGTCATTCTGGATCGTTTTACCTAATTAGTTTACGATCATTTTCATGAATTACTTTAGTTTAATCGCTTAATTCTATGTGTTCAACAATATCTTCTATAAGGTATTTTCCGGAATAATATTAATCAAGAGTATAGGTAAATTTATGGCTAACAGTCCTGGTTAGGACTTGTACACAGCTGAGTGTACTTGCATCCCAGTCTTGATGTTCACATTGGGACTTGAAACCGGTACTTGATGCTCCAAACACTATACGCGTTATCCACTAATAATTTATGTCTTCGTATTGGAATGATATAATTTTATCTTTCAATGTTTCCAATACTTATGTTTTCAAACAGAGCAAGAACAACAAAGTTTGCAAAATCATCAATTCGATTCATTATTCTATTTCACAGTTTCTCATCAGCTGCATACAACCTAAAGTTATAATATAAATATGGTTATCAACAAATATTTAACATACTTTAGTTCGTGAAGTTAAGATAGATGGATAAAACGTAGCCAAAATCATAATGATCCGAAGAATAGGGACACAAAGTGTCTGAATACATATAGTTAAGATCGATGTGTATTAAAATGTTTGGAAGTAATAATTCAAATGTTATGTAAAGGTGATGAAATTAATAAGTGATTAGGTAATCACTCAACACGATAAAATATACAAATATGTGTACATCAATCAGATTGTGTAAGAGATGAAGATTAGAAGACGAAAGAATAAAAACCTCTTTTATTTTGATTATGAATATTGGCAACCATAATACCTATTTTAATGTGCATTGCTACACACACAGAGAGATCTTAACTATATTTATTCGTACGCTTTGTGTCCCTATTCTTCGGATTATTATGATCTCGGTTACGTTTTAAACATCTATCTAAACTTCACGAACTAAAGTATGTTAAACAATTGTTAATAACCATATTTATGTTAATAATTGCAATTTAGTTTGAATACAGCTGATGAAAAAACGTTCCTGCTCTCTTTAAATTTTAATAGTTGAATTCATGAGTCCATGTATGCTAGATCACCATCAAAGGATCTGGTTGCACGAAAAGAAATGTAAACATTATAGTAGTACTAAAAATAATGTTACATCTGTAGTTTATAAAACCATAATTGATGATCATAACTTCAAATCATATAAAATCTGTGAAGTTCTTTACGAAGAACTAACCACAAACTAAACTGTAGAATGAGAAATCAATAGAAAATGACCCCATTGAATATGATTTGAACAAGCAGTATTAAGTAGGTTCCCTCAGTAAATATATATATAAGACATAAAATTTCTTAACAAGTATATGTGTGATCAGACTGTTCGAAATATATTGCGCAAATGTATCACATAATTCTGATAAACTTTGTCTTCTCATTGCATTATCGAAATTTATTAAAGGGACTAATTGTTATATATATTTATTTACATGTCTTTTACAAATAATGATAGGTACCATTATATTTTAGATATAATTGTTTCAAGTATGTGTAAGTTCACGAGGCAAGCCCTAACCTGAAATCCTGAAGGGAAGCCGAAAAGTGAAACGCCAAAGAATATATCACGTCGGGAAATAGAAGCAGATATGAAAAAGATAAATAACAATTGGAAAGAGCTGGAAAGGATTGACCAGAACAAGGTTGGATGGTGTGTGCTTGTGGGCAACCTATGCTCCTTCACGGAGGAGTAACAGGCGTAAGTAAATAAGTATGTGTAAGTGATGGTACCTAATAAAAAAAGAACTACTCTCATGTTTCTTCAAATTGTAGATTATGTTTTTTCAATCCATTCGCTCATCAAAACATTTGACAGGATAAACATTTATTTACTAATTATTTTCATAACAATATTTGAAAAAACATAAGTATTCAATGCTTAATTATTCCGTCAGTTATAATTGTATGCATTTTACCATATTCATTTGTATAATCTGATAATAATGACAAATAATGTAAACAATTTAATTAATAGTCATTTTATTTAATTTTATAAATAATGATAATAATAAACAAATTCACTAACCATACTATCAATTCCCAATAGTATAATCATAATAAAAAAACAAAATGACCAAATAGGACTACCAGGCAATGTTCCTAATGCTTTTGGATAAATAATAAATGCTAAACCTGGTCCTGATTCTGCAATTAAATGTATTGGGACATTGGATATATAAGACATATTGCCAAGTGTTGCAAATATAACAAAACCAGCCAATAAACTTGTAAATGTATTTGCACCAGCAAATAAAAGACAATCTCTAAATGTTAACAAAAAAAAAATAAATGAGATGAAATGGTTACAGTAAAATGAATTTATTAAGTTGTTTTTTTAAAAAAAAGGGGTACATTCATTTCATAAAAAGGAAAATTACTCTTATTTGAATATTACAGAATGGTTCATCATTCTAAATCAAAATGTATTTCATACATCTTTCACTAATCGATTACAAATTGGTTTGATGTATAATTACCTGATGTAAGCAACTATTTACATGATGCAAAGAGCATAAATATTAAACGAACGTCAGGGCAGTTCTCCTGTATGGAGCTGAAACTTGGAGAACTACTAAAACCATCATCAAAATTGTACAAGTATTTATAATTAGTTGTCTACGCAAGATACTCAACATCCATTGGCTGAATACCACCAGTAGCCGCTTACTGTGGGAGAGAACAAACTAGCTTCCAGCTCAAGAGGAAATTTGGAAAAGATGATGAAAATGGACAGGATATACATTACGCAAATCATCAAACTTCATCACGATGCTATCCCTAACTTAGAATCCTGAAGGGAAGGGGAAAAGAAGAAGGCCAAAGAACACATTACGTCGGGAAATAGAAGCATATATGAAAAGGATGAATAACAACTAGAAGGAGCTGGGAGTGATTGACCAGGACAGGGTTGGATGGCGTGTGCTGGTGAGCGACCAATGCTCCTTCACGGAGGAGTAACAGGCGTAAGTAAGTAAGTAATATAGTTGCGTTCGAATTCACTATAAAGTGAGTAATCCACAAAATTAATATTGTCTAATCGTTTATAACACCAAATTACAATATATTTATGTTAATATTGTGTATATATAACCACGTTATTTTATCAAATTAGGAATCTGTTTTTCTAGCTGTTGACCTGGGCTTATATATTGGTTTATCTGAGATTTAAGTTAATGATCTTGTCACACAAACATCAAACACTTGGCTTCATTATATAATTGCATCCATTCATTATTCTGCATTCAATTCACACGTTTTAATGATGTAAAATTTTATCATCATTCACTAATAATCCTTACGTATAAGAATGAATGTTTAAGATCTAGTGTGACAGTTTAGTAGAAAGAACAACTCAGTTTGTATTTATTCTATTAGATATATTAAATTGAAAAAATCCAACTCATTAAGAAGATCTTTTAAGATATTCTACAAAGACTAATGAAACCATTCGAAATGTCATGTGATACAGTAGCAATTTTGAGCTTACATTTTTATTCACTAATTTAAAAAACAACTCTAATCTTTAACTTTTTGACGATTTATCTTATTGTTTTATTTTTTCCTTCGGTTTTGTTTTAGATTCGCTTATCTTTATTTAGTCTAGTTAATTCTCAGTGCTCAGTAACCTACTTTCATTTTTTAATTATCAACTATCCTCTGATTTCTTTTTTATGGTTGAAGATTTATCTTTGTATAAACAGTTTCGTTCTTAATCTTCATGAATACAGTTCGTATCATAATCTTTATAGTATACTTATGGGCAGCTAATGATTATTCATTGTTTATAACGGGAAATAAGATAAAAAATTAAACACTAGTCAGTTCCATATTGAAACCTTATAATACCTTTAATAAGAGTTAAATTGAATAAACAGTAACAATGTACAAGTAACAATGTACATTGCGTGTTATCAGTTCAAATAATCTTTCCTTATTTAAGTGGTTATATTGAATTATACACTATCTTTTAAAAACTCCAATTTTCATTTGATAGATTTAAAACAAGTACAATTAAATTTACATTTTGTGTCTTGTTTTCCTATGACTACTCGGTTTCATGTACTAAATGTAGAACTGACTATTAAGTTTCAAAGTGTTGTGATAAATAAAAAGTTAAGTAATGAAATGAAATTAAGACTAATTTGAATTCTCTGGACACTTTATTTCATCAGTGAAATTCTAATAATAGCATTTCTTTTCAAAATAACCTGATCCAAGATAGTACTATGGGGTCTCAGTGGAATTCATTAAATTTATCAACCGCTTTTTGTCAAAGATACATATTACTAAAAGTAAAACTGATGACGTGTTCCATACAAGGACATAATAACTATCTAGTGCTTTCTTAGTTTTCCCGATTACCCCAGCGTATGTCGATTCATAACGAAAACTACTTTGAAAAAATACAATTTACTAATGATGATCTGAATTTCCGAGTTAACCTCGCAGTAGTTTCCTTCTATTAATCTTTTTACCTTAATCCATATAATATAAAAATATCTACCAACCAAAAATACTAGTTACAAAGAACTCAGATAATACCAGAAAACTTCCACAAAATGCAAAAGAATAACAGTAATGTATATTTCTATTGAACACACCTACCTAACTGAATTATGATGATAACGATTATAACTTCCCAATGCAGACAAAGCTCCTAAACCAATAGCATAACTGAAAAAGATTTGAGTTCCAGCATCTGACCAAACCTATAAAAGAATGAAAATAAAATTATTTTTACAAAGATTATTTATTACGCTTTCTAGGAAATAAAATTTTCTTGATTTGTATTCAGAAGTCACCATAATAAATCATACATACTACTTACCAGATACTAAGTATACTGATATCAGCTAGATGAAAATCATGTAAACAAATGATAATTTAAGAATCGGTGAAAGGAGCTTTCAAACGGGAAGCACTATTTTTTTGCCTAGTTTTCATATGATTTAGTTTTCACCAACAAGGTGTACCTGTAAACTTGATGGAACTTATCCCTCAACTTAGTATGCAGTCTGAGATGTTGCCATGTAGCAATTCAGAAAACAACTGACCTTCTGTATGACCAAGATATTTACACTTATTGATTACTAAGCACAGATCATTTTATTGTTAACCTAATCCTCTAGTACTGACCAAATTCTATGATTCAGCTAGCAATGGGCCACTAGTCTAAGTAACTCGACATCGCGTGTTAAAATATAATGGGGTTGGAGATAATCAACAGAATAATTTAAAATATAAACAACTGTTGTACAATATCTGGTAATATTTTCTTTAAATTAATATCAGCATTTTTAGTTTTACTCTTCATAGAAAATGTAATATTAACAAAGTAAAACTGTTATATTATAATTCTTTATTACTTTTGAATAACAAGAAGGAAATACATCTTTCTGCCAAAGAATTTTTAATGTAGAGCAATTCTTGTCAATGCTTAGAAAGTGATTTATCACAAAACGTTCATGTGAGTTGTGTATTTTACTCATAAGTATATAAACCCATCAGATAACTAAGAGGGTTATGAGTTGTATCCCATATGAGAAAGAGGGTGAACTATTCATCGTGTGTAACCTCTTCTGAGTTGATACATTTGTTCGTTGAAACCCACTTATTTATAATGGTAGGAATTATGCTTTTCAAACTGAATTTTTTCATTACCTTCTCACATGACGTAATTTTATGTATTTTCTATGAGTTTTAACCTCTATTTACTGAACAGTAGCACATATGGGTGAAAATTCAGTTTTTTCTTCATATAAACGTTGCATTTCATAGTATCAAAAATCTCGTAGTTGTGGTGTATGCTGCCTATACTGACAGATATAAGTAGCATGCAGTCGCAATCGGAAGTGGGATGATTGGCAGCAAAAGATTGGATTAAAGAGAACATAAAATAAATCGGTGAGCAATCGAAATAACAATGCAAAGTAGATATGCAAATGACGTATTTAATTTGTGATTTTCATATTTTGCTAAGAAACTGTGTAATATTGTATTCAACAATCAATTGGTTTCCTCCAACTGAGACTCATTCACTACATATTCGTCTAAAAATATAATCAAGGTAGTCTACAGAAATCTACAGTATAACTATTTGGGTTCAAAAGATTTTCACTGTATGAAATATGTAGTCAGAAATGAAATGAATTCACGGAAATATCTCTCGAATGAATAATTATATTTAGTATAGATTTCTTAACTTTTAATAAGAAAAATGCATTTCAGAAAAACAATTATAACTTTGACAAACGCTTTAAGGAGATCAAGTGTATAACGAACGAAAATTAAGGAACAACCTAATAAAAGGACGTCTAGTAGATTATTAATTTTTGATTAAGATCATGAACCGATTGATGTTAGGCTACCATTGAAAACCTGGAAGCACTGGACGGCCGTTTCGTCTTATAATGGGACTCCTCAGTAGTGCGTCCACAATCCCGCTCGCGGGATTCGAACCCATGGCCTTCACTCTCGTGCGCGAACGCTTAACCTACTGGACCACTGAACTGGCATCCAATGGTCTTAATGTGGATGTGCACTACTGAGGAGTCCCATAATAGGACAAAACGGCTGTCCAGTGCTTCCAGGTTTTCAATGGTGGCCTAACATCAATCGGTTCATGATCCTAATAAAAAACTTAACAATCTCCACAACCCCTAAACTGAAGATTATTAATTATTTATCTATTGACTATGAACCTTTTGCTGCAAATATTTATAAATTCATATGAAGTACTTGTCATTTAACTGAGATAATTCAAATAATGAATACTCATAGATCCAGACTGACAGATATTCATGGTCTAAGACTAGTAAATCATAATTATTTTTTCATGGTGGTACATACGCTTATTCCTTATTTATAATTTTGTTCATGTAAACAGAAAGTTTTGTAAATAATCAAATTTTTAAATAATAAATAATCAATAAAGAACAATAATTCAAAAATGTTTTCAAAAATCTTCTGAAGGAAAGTAAACAATATGATTTCACAATTCAAGACAATTAATAAAATGGGTAAGAAGACTTGTGATTTGAAGAACAGTGTTGTTTGTTTGTTTCTTTTTAAATTAAGGATTGTTTATCTAGAAAGATCCAGTAGGTCTCAATATACACAAAGGGAAAAGCAGGATTCTTCGATACAACACAGAATGCACCAATCCAATCACAATTGACGGAGAAGATTTGGAAGATGTAAAAACCTTTACGTATTTGGGCAGCATCATTGATGAACAGGGTGGATCTGATGCAGATGTGATGGCGCGGATCGGCAAAGCAAGAGCAGCATATTTACAACTGAGGAACATCTGGAACTCACAGCAACTGTCAACCAACACCAAGGTCAGGATTTTCAATACAAATGTCAAGACAGTTCTACTGTATGGGGCAGAAACCTGGAGAACTACCAAAGCCATCATCCAGAAAATACAGGTGTTTATTAACAGTTTTCTACGCAAAATACTTCAGATCCATTGGCCGGACACTATTAGCAACAACGTACTGTGGGAGAGAACAAACCAGATCCCAGCGGAGGAAGAAATCAGGAAGAAGCGCTGGAAGTGGATAGGACACACATTGGAGAAAGAACCGAACTGCGTCACAACGCAAGCCCTCACATGGAATCCTCAAGGCGAAAGGAAAAGAGGAAGACCAAAGAACACATTACGCCGAGAAATGGAGATAGACATGAGGAAAATGAACAAGAATTGGATGGAACTAGAAAAGAAGGCCCAGGACAGAGTGGGTTGGAGAATGCTGGTCGTCAGCCTATGCTCCATTGGGAGTAACAGGCGAAAGTAAGTAAGTAAGTATCTAGAAAGATCATTCTGTTCTCCAAATAAATTTTCATTTGACCTTTTGTAGAATTTGTTTTTGACAAGATCAATAAAGAATAAGCTAAACAACAAAGTAGACAAACAGTTTTTGTAAAGAATCTACATTAATCACAGAATTACTTGAAAATGAGTTATTATGAAATAGTTGTTTCGTCTTAGTTTGGTGTTTTTCCCTAGAATGTGTTCATACCACAATACAAGTTTGATTAAAATAAAACAAGTAATACTTCATTTGATTTCATATTGAATAGAATGCTCATTTAATTGGACTCTAAACATTAAATATCATTATTTTCAGTCAATGAATAGATCAGTAAATAAGGCTTGTACTACTTTCAGACATATTTATTGATGTGTTCATACTAAAGGAAAACTGAACTATCTGGAATCATTAAACTAAGACAGTATATATGAGCGAATTGAAACTTACATGAATATTGAACAACTGTTATGTGTTAGGAAGACAATAAACAATAGATCGAATAAAAATTAATGTTATTTAATAGAAGTTAGGTTGAAAAACTAAAATTTTAATCCCTGGGTAGACTGCATAGTATCAAACTTTTCTATTTCAGCATGTTAGATAATTTGATCATAGTAGTAAATAAAAATCACAGATAGATTGATTTACTACAGATTATTAACAAATCATTATCATAAAGGCTTTTTTCTGTAATATTATTCATTTTTATTCGGCATATATAAGGGAATCTGAAAATACACATATATGAAAACTAGCTACAGATTGGAGAATAGTGAAAATTGAATGAAATCACCAATGAAGTTTAGACATGAAGAGAAATTTTTCGACAAACTACAGCTAACCGGTCCCTTGAAAGTATATTGGTTTAGTCTAGTTTCGGTATACTATAAAAATTTCCTTTCAAGAGAAAAAAAGGATCATTCTACTCTCCACTTATAGTTTTATTAAGTTTTATTCCCATTTTAGTATGACATTTATCCTAAAGTATTCAATTACATAGATTAGTGTAATATTTAAAATTCCTTTTAGTTTATTCATTTACTTACTTACGCCTGTTACCCCCAATAGAGCATAGGCCGACGACCAGCATTCTCCAACCCGCTCTGTCCTGAGCCTTTCTTTCCAGTTCTATCCAATTTTTGTTCATTCATCTCATGTCTGTTTCCGTTTCTCGGCGTTATGTGTTCTTTGGTCTTCCTCTCCTCCTTTGACCTTGAGGACTCCAATTGAGGGTTTGTCTTGTAACACAGTTGTGTGTTTTACTTATTGTGTATCTTATTCACTTCCAGTGCTTCTTCTTGATTTCTTCCTCTGCTGAGATCTGGCTTATTCTCTCCCTCAGCAGATTGTTGTTGATAGTGTCTGGTCAACAGATTCGAAGTATTATGCGTAGACAATTGTTAATAAACACTTGTATGGCTTGATGGCGTTTGTAGTTCTCTAAGTTTCTTCCCCAAACAGTAGAACTGTTTTGACATTTGTATTGCGAATTCCGACTTTGATGTTGTTTAACAGTTGTTTTGAGTTCCAAATGTTCTTCAATTGTAGATATGTTGCCCTTACTCCGCCTGGAGCCCCCCTGGAGCCACTGCCGGTCTCAAGCCCGGTTAAAGGAGGAGGGTTGGGCATGGGGTTAATGAACCCATCCCTTAGAAAACTAACTCGCTAAAGAAAAACGCTAACCAGGAAAAATTATTCAAACCATTTAAACTCTTTTTTAGTGACTATAAATAATATCTGCAGTGACAGTCTAAGATTAATATTTATTACACTAATTAAATTTATTTCTCAATATCATGCAACCATCAAATATGATATAACTATGTTTTATTATGATTGTTGGTCAAATAATTTGTTTTTAAAGAAAAACGTCTTTTTCAAAATTAAACAAAACGGTTTACAAAGTCAAAATCTTATCTCTAATATTATACAGTTGATGCATATTCCTTTTTTCTTCGAATATAGTCTACATACATTTTGTTTAGTATCACTATAGATACAAATGAAATATATCAAATGTGTCGAAATTCACTCATAAACAATGAAAATCAATATGTGATATACTTAAAAATATTTAACCATTATATAATAGTTCATTGGAATTTCATTAAAATATATAAAAGAATTTAAGGTAGATTTAACTACTTATCAAGTGTATTTCATTTTATTATTCTAAATAACGTGTCTATACAAAAAAAGTATCTAGTGGATATGAAATAAATATTGTTGTGAATTTCATTTTAACACTAACTTTCTTTTATTCAATACTTATTGACTTTGGATAATATCAGAACATTATTAATTTCTTATGGAAACTATGAAATAATTCACATCAAGTTTGATTAAATATTGTGTTCTGTATGTACTTTCAGAGAATGGTGCTTTGGTTTGACTGAGTTAAGTGGTTTGAACTTAACAAAACATGGCATCAGTACTTGAAGTCATTCACTTCTAGTCTAAATTATGTTAGTAGATGCAGACTACTTGATTAAGGTCACCGTGACTATCATAACCAATGGTTGGAGACTTTGTGTGACATGACTCAGAATCGATCACAATAACGCAGCTGTATATACTCTTTGTCTTCTCTTAAACTATGAGATTAAAATTATTTCTCACCTTTCTTTCTACCAACTAATTCTTTCCTCCTGTACTATATCCTTATACAAAATCTTTTTTTAAAAATATTACTACCAGTGAAGTAACTACTTCTATGAATTCGGTGTTGATCTTGATGTGCTAATGACGTATGACAGCTACATTATAACTGACTTAATAACTGACTTAAATGAAGCTCACTACTCTTTGAACTGCATTTATCATTTTTACATCTAAAATTTAGTCTCAGTTCAGATAATATTTCAAATCGTAAGTTAGAATAAAATATACCTAAACAATTTTAATCAGATTCTACATCATTTAATAATCTATTTTAACTATATTTTTTTACTGGCTTGTCAAAACTTATTATTTTTTTAACCTACATTCTTTTTTTATTATCACTTTGTTTAAACGTACACTAATCATTTAGTTCTTTCATGTTTAAAAAGAAAATACATTATTCTTAGTTCTTGTTTTTTACCAAACTTATAATAGATATCAGTAGTATAGATATAATATTTGTCAATTTATTGATTAAAGTTTTCGAAAATTTCCCCTCTCTATTTGATTTACATAAAAGTACATTTCATAACACATGTCGATAGAAATCACTGTAATAATAATGAATACCTTGAAAAATCAATAAATTGTAATAAAAAATTGCAATAATAATAATAATTTAGAAATTGCTTTAGAAATATAACCTTTGTCTTATATTTTAAAACAAAAAAGGTTGAATAGGATTTCAATGATTTATCATTCATCTTTTTTTCAAGGAACTCGGCTTTGTTCCTCCTTTGTTCCTCTTTCTTCTGGTGGTCGACTGGATTATGAAGACCTCGACATCTGAGGACAAACATGGAATACAATGGACAGCTCAAAACCAATTAGACGTTTTGGACTTCTCAGATAAGCTAGCCCTCCTCTCGCATACACACAAACAAATGCAAATAGAGACAGCCAGTGTAACAGCAGTCTCTACATCAGTAGGCCTTAACATACACAAACGGAAAACCAAGGTTCTCAAATACAACATGGAGAACACCAATCCAATGACTCTTGATGGCGAAACTCTGGAAGATGTAGAATCCTTCACATACCTGGGAAGCATCGTCGATGAACAAGGAGGTTCAGATGCAGACGTAAAGGGGAGGATTGGAAAAGTAAGGGCCGCATTCCTACAATTGAAGAACATATGGAACTCAAAACAACTGACTGTCAACCAACACCAAAGTCAGAATCTTCAATACGAATGTCAAGGCAGTTCTACTGTATGGAGCTGAAACTTGAAGAACTACAACAACCACCATCAAGAAGGTACAAGTATTTACAAATGGTTGTCTACGCAAGATACTCAACATCCATTGACCGGATACCATCAGCAACAGTCTTTTGTGGGAGAGCATACACCAACTTCCAGTTGGAGAAGAAATTAGGAAAAGACGATGGAAATGGATAGGACATACATTACGCAAATCATCAAACTGCATCACGAGACAAGCCCTAACATGGAATCCTGAAGGAAGGCGGAAAAGAGGAACGCCAAAGAACAGACTAGGTCGAAAAATAGAAGGAGATATGAAAAAGATGAATAACAAGTGGAAGGAGCTGGAAGCGATTGACCAGGACAGGGTTGGATGGCGTGTGCTGGTGATTGGCCTATGCTCCTTCACGAGGAGTAACAGGCGTAAGTAAGTAAGTTTTTTTCAAGGTAAATATTTAAAAGAAGAAACAAACAAACAAACAACAACAAAAAGAGAAAAACTGAAAACAATAATTTATTCCTTTATATAAATCACGAATTATAATAACTAATTAAACTTAATTTAATAATTAATAGATTGATATTATAAACAGTTAATTTATTCTATTTAATTACATAATAATCTAAATTATCTTAAGTAGTTTATTCTATATAGTTTCTTAATTATTCACATTGTAAGCTATTTATATTATCTTAATAGAAATAAATAAATAATTATATGATCAAATTTAGATCATCTGTTCTATAATTGTAATGCTATAGAAGCTGAATTTAATTAATTAATCAATAATTATTGGTGTAGTGGCTATGCTTCGTTAACCAATCATCCACGTAACCGTTACCATATAATCCTTAACGGTGTTTGAAATCGGAAGGCAAAGAGAAACAGCGACCACAGTTTTATTAGCAGATAACTCAGACCACAAAGTAGTGAGGCTAATGAGTGAGTCAGCGAACCGAGAGTGTATAGAGTGTGTGGAGTGTAAATGTACATGTATATATATAGGGAAATGAATGGATCATCGAATCAATTAAGCAGTTAATAATAAAACTAGCAGAATGAATATATACGTAGGCGGTAAGCAATGTTCAAGCATACAAATTTCAAACAAGCACAACAATAATAAAGGTACAATAAATTGTTATAGTGCGGATGACTTTGTCCGCTAAATAAGTTAACAGAAGCGCTTAACCGAATTACATGAGAACAAACTCAATTGCACGTGAGTTGCTATAAAAGTTCAATATCATAATTGATTAATGAATTGTTAAATTATTTATTATTATAATTAAATATTTAATTAATGATTATATTTATTAAAACTTGTTTTTTTTCATTTACTCTGATATGAATAACTATGTCAGTATATTAATTGTATAATTTTATGATTTTGAATAAAAATGTTTGATCATAAAGAAGGTTTAGTAGAAATTGTAGTAATTGAATTCATGAGTCGATTAAAACTAGATCATAATGGAAAGTCTAGAAGTATTAGATGACCGTTTAATGAAAGATTAATCTCTAGATCACTAAGGTAACATTCAATCATGTTATTGTCTAATTTCAATCAATCCATAAAATTGCATTCGCGTGCAAGATCGATAGGTCCTGAGCAGGATCATAGATACTCACTTTTGAGGAGTCTCATACTAAGATGAAACAGTCGTCTAGTAATTTCATATTTTTCATGATGGTTTAACTTTAATTGACTCATGAGTTCAACTATTAAAAATGTTTTAATTTCTTCCAGATATAATTACAGTTTAATTGAAATAATAAGAAAGAAATTTTTCTAAGTTTGGTAAAGAAAAATCTTGTCAACACAAAGTTTAAACTAAATATGTTTAAGTAATTGTACTGAAACTATTGTTCATTACTTTTTTTACATGGATCCAAATAAATTCGAAACGAATGATGGAATGTCTTTTTTAGGTCTTTAGTAATATGATTAACTTCTTTAGTTTTCATCAACTAAATAGATGGTTACATGTTATATTCCAAAAGAGAAAAATATATTTACATGAATTTATACAATGGCAATTTTAATATTTACATATTGGTTCGTAAAACATATACTTTTGAGTAATTAAAACTAAAAAAGACTTGCATATTCTACAAATCGTTTTAATAAAAGTTTTGTGCTGGATAACTCAGAGTATATAAGAGTATGTTATTATGTAATCCATAACGAGTCAGTAAGTATAACAAAACAAAATGTGATATCTTAATAAATGAATTGACATTTCTTTTTATTAGAAAGTGAAAGAATATAATTTATAAATTTTGAATTTGGTTTATTTTGGATTTGCTACTAAGAACTATAACTTTATTGTAACTATCGAAAATTTGCACCGGTTATAAATTAGAATAGATTTTAATTCATTTTTGTATTGTTTAATTGAATCTTTTCATTGATGTTTACGGCTATGATTGATCAGTCTTTATTGGCATATGTACTTTCAGCTGACGAGTCCCGAATAGGACGAAACGCGCTTCCTGAATTTCACTGTTAGCTATTATCCATTTTTACTCAGAACGACTTCTCCTTTTTCTCCCTAAATTGTAAGCATTTTGGTAAGTTTTTGAAATAAGGAATATGTCAGCTGTTAACGATTCCTGTGTAGCAAAATTAAAGTCATTCTTTTGAAAACTCATTATTTCCTTCTGTCTGTTAACCGAAATGAAAGAAAAACACAGGAAATTTACAACATTAAGTTTTACATATGTACATCCTCAATGTAAAAAATATTACTTACTGTCATATCTGTTAATTTATCCCAGTCTGGTTTTAAATAATACGTTATACCATTTAATGCTCCTTCTAACTGAGCTGTTCTTATAAGTAATATAATCATGAATATATATGGTGTAGTTGCAGTTATATACATAATCTAAAATGAAAACGAAGTGAACAGGAAGATAATTATCATATAATCAATCTTTCCGGAAATAAATTATAAATTAAATTAACTTTAACATTACGTAACAATCTTTGGTTATTAACAATGGGTAAAATTACATCTAGTAGAAAATATGATTTTTGAACATGCAATAACCAAGTACAAACAAGGGAAATTACTTTTACATTGCACTGTACAAATGACAACTATCAGTTGTTTTCAATATTACTTATGTCTACAGAAGTAATGTTTAGTATCTTTCGTTGTTGTTTTGTAAACAATTCAAATTACGGAGTTATATCTGTTGCGTAATCTTATACTTTTCACATTATCTACATTGATACACACCTACTAAGTTGGTTTTGTCGTAATTACTTAATGTATCTATGCAGTTACTTATCACTGTTATTTTGATTATGTAATCAATTATTTTGATCATTATTAATTATGCTACATTAGTTTATCGATCTTGATCAATATGCTTAGCGTTATATCTGATGTGTTTTTTCCATCTACGACGTTCAAATCAATTTGATCTGCTAGTTTTAAACCTTCAGTTTCTAATCGTCGGATAACTCTATACTGACTATTAGTTTACTGTCGACAAATTTATATGCTTAGAAGTTTTGTACACAATTAAATCTTTATGTAATTGAAATAATACATTTTTTCCGTTGTTGTAATATTAACAGTACGCGTTTATTGATTTTCGATTCTTAAACTATATCCATCTATCAATAATACAATGAGTTATTGTCATTGAAGCTTAGCATAATGACTCACATTACTGTTATTCTAGAAAAAGTGAACAAGCTTTAGCACGACTAAAGCGTAACCAAGAATGAAAACTCGGAAAATAACTGTGAACATATTTAAGTAGTATAATGAATATAAATTTTAGCAATTAGCCACCCTTTACTATTGAACTTTTGCTTATATAACTAAACTGAATATAAGCCAAGGTTCATCTACAAAGATTACATTTATTCATGTTGTTGTGTAAATCATGTAAAAAAGAAAACTTAATCAGCACGATTATGACTTAAACATTGATAAACAATTTCAAACGAATAATTGAACACCATCCTAGTTAGTACACTATAACATCAATGACGAATTATTTTTGTGTGAAAGCGGTGAAATTACCTTTGATTTCTTTTATCATTATTTATATTTTAAGCTCAGACTCAACGATTCTAAACGGTTTTAACATAATTTTATTTAATGATATACTAAATCCTAGGATGTATCAATCAGCTTTGTAGTTCATATAGAATGTGTATAAGCATAATTCATTGATAAATTATATCAATCAAGAATTCATTATTCATTAAACCTATTAACATCATATCCAAAAGTAGATATTTATGAGATTCCAAATTATACTTCTAATAAGATTAACTCTTTATAATTTGTATCCAAAATTATCAGACTTCTAATTTTATTAACTTGTTAGATTTATCTCTTTTTTACAAAATGACTATTAATTTGAATCAATCTGTTAAAGTTCTATGCGAATAAGAGTCTCTCTTTTTTATACTACTTAATTACAAATATCTGACTTGGTAATGACTTTAGAGTAAATCATTCTATGAAATTAATTTTACTCATTTATATAAAACATATGAGAACAATTTAAACCAATGACAAATGTTCATACACTATCCAAGATGATACAAACAATGTTGTTGAAAGAACAAAATACACAATTAGAACCGAGAAATCGTAAAATATTAAATTCTATCTGATTGTCTCCATATATTATAGTTTCAATCATACTATAACATTCTATAATGTCTAATTTGTAAAAATATTGGCAAACAGAACATTTAGTTCATAGAAAATCACTTCACTTCATATTATATATTTATCTTTATAACTAATATATTCATCTAGGGTAAAAACGTAACCTTTATGAGTTTTAATAATTCATTTATTCTATGATTAAACCGACTAGGAAAGATTATTTAATTATTCTTTCATTATAATCTTACATTCATTGAAAATATTGTTAGGGCATAGTATTTTTTTTTTTACTGAAATAATAATTCTTTCTAATTATTAACTAAATGTTTAATATACTACTATTCATTCAAGTAATAAGTTAATAATAAAGAAAAGAATTATTCATATGTATCATTGATTAATTTGTTATCAGTAATAATCTATTCTAATGATCTCAATTGTTTATATTAGAACATTCACTATATATTTCATTTCTATATAATATTATTTCAATAAATTTATAAACTTACTTTTCCCGATGTTTTTATTCCTCTACATATTGCTAAAAATATTATTGTCCAAGCTAATAAAAGGCATAATGCTAAATCCCATTGAATTGTTCCTAAATTATCAATACCATTTGATATTCGTAAGACACGATTTCTATGATTAATGAAAAGATATAAATAACAATTATTAAATAACTTAATTAGTATCAGAAGTGGGTTTTGTGGAGAGTGTAGTAATTTCAATAGTTGAGATCATGAGTCAATTGATGCTAGACCGCCATGGAAAAGCTGGAAGCACTGGATGGCCGTTTCGTCCTATTGTGTGACTCCTCAGCAGTGCGCATCCACAACATATGCTCACTAGTGACTGGCTTCAACAGGTATTTCATGGAGTTCTAATAAGAAGCAGTGATCAGTGGAGTTCAACCGGGTCAGTTGTGAGATAATAACTAACTGATGACGATAGTGGATGTGTCTGTCAATTTCGTGGATTAGTTGAAGTTAAACATTAACACCGACGGATCCCGACTCAGTGGTTTAGTTGGTTAAGCACCTGGCGCGAGACTGATATGTCTTGTGTTTGAATCCCGCGAGGTGGGATCGTGGATACGCATCACAATAGAATGAAACGACCATCCAGTGCTTTCAGGTTTTCCATGGTGATCTAGATTTAACTGACTCATGACCTCAACTGTTGAAATAACCCAATTGTTATTATGTATTTAGTATATATTTAAGTACATTTGGAAGTTATTTATTAAATCTAAAATAAACAATAGAGTTTATCGGCAAAATAACTTTAGAATAAAAAGAATAATATTTATCTTTTTTTGGATTATTTATGTCTAATAGAAGTTGTTTACTTCAGTTAGATTAAATTAATTTTAGCTAAAATAAACATTATCAATGTATATTTCTATTTTCAGTATAGATTTGTAGAGATTATTGAGCTTTATTTGATATCACGAATCAACCAATGTTAGACCACCACATAAAACCTGTAGGCACTGGACGGCTGTTTCGTTCTAGTATGGGACTCCTCAGCAATACACATCCACGACCCAGCAATCAGGATTGAAACCCAGGACCTTTGGCCTTGCGTGCAAACACTTAACCTCTGCACGACTAAGTTGCGTATTACAGTGAATCAGTTGGACTTAGACATTAACAATACTGGATGCCGATTTATTGTACTAAAGGTTAAGCGCTAGGGTGCGTAACCGAAGGTCCTAGGTTTTAATCCCACATATGGGGTCGTCGATGTGCACTAATGTGGAGTCCATCACCAGGACGAAACGACCGCTTAGTGTTCTCAGGTTTTTAATTGTGGTCTGACAATGATCGGTTCAAGATCTCAATTCCTATTTTCATTGTTTCTTCGTGTCATATGAAAAATAAGTTCATGTGCAAACGTACAATTTGTTTAAGTGTTAAGCCTCTACAAACAACTACAGGTTATTTTCAAAAAATAAATATTAGGACACAATAACATAGACTTTTCACGAATAAATATCAATCAAGGAATTCATGTAACGGGTTTCCTTCACAAATTTAAATAAAGCAAGAATAACAATATTTGTAGGATACGATGAATTCATTGTAATCCGTTGTTTGTCGTTCATCTATACACAAACTAATGCATAGCTGAAGAGCAAGTAACAAGATACAATGAATTCATCGCATCCTGAGAACAATGTCGTTCTTGCTGAATTTAAATCAAAGAATTACTTGACGTCGGATAGGACATTTAAACAGGCAATCAACTTTAGCTCTAATAAAATAATCACATACGATTTAACCGTCCCAGCCGTTTATTTATATTCCAGATCACGGTTGACTTCAATTTGAAAGTAGATAGTTCATCATTATTTTAACCAGTTAATATCAAAATTTAGTCTACGTCATGTTCAGTTACTTAGATTAGTAGCCATATTTCAGTGAATTTCCGTCAGCACTAAGGACTACAGAAATATGACAATAACCACTATTCAGTGATCACTAAATGGATATATTGTAATCATGCAAGGAGTTATTTACAGCTTCAATAGCCTAACACTAACGTCTCTGAAATGGAGTGAACAAAGTTTAAACTTCACGAGGAGTACCAATTACGTTAATACAGGAGGAATATTTTGGTTAGGGAGCATAGGTTCAAGACTTTGAATTATTTATTACCTAACATTCTCCAAGTTTTTTAACTCGACATTTTGTTTTCATTAAAGCTATTAAATAATTCATTTGAAAGATATAGTCCTAGAATTATATAGCATACAGCCATGAAATGCAATAGAAAATGTATCATCAGATATTGATATCATAAAGACGACTATTTCTAAGCTTCATTTCATACATATAGATAATAAACTATTTATATACGATTGTTATTTACACACAATTACAATGACGTAACAATATTGGCAACTTTTCATTCTATTCACTTTAAGTAATTTATGATTCATTGTTAATAATTTATTGGGAACGCGTTCATACAATAAACTTTATCTAGTATCATACATTACTGTTAATTTATTTACATTTTGAGTTCAAGTTTGTTTTTGTTTTTTTGTTTTGAACCAATATAATGAGTATAGTTTTCGTATATCACAATACATTCAATGAATTTCGTACTGAAGTTAAAACATCGGATAAACAAAAAAAATGGTCTCAGTAAACTAATTATGATATATTTTAGTTTCTAATTCTATACACTAAATAGAAGGTATTCGTTAATATTAGAAATCATTAGAATCTCATAATGAGCTTTGAATATCAATCGGATTCATATATAATAGTGAACGGAAGTTTGGTGAGCAAAACCAATTCACGGTGTTTTATGAAAGCAATCAGTGACGTATGAATGATTTCTTATCTGTATATGTAAGTTTAATTGTTTCAGAGAAAATGATAAAGAACTCTATTTTTTCAAAGATTAATTTCAAAGAAATCAAATGTTAATATACAAGAACATAGTTTATGAATTTCTGTTAGTAAAGTTTACAGGTGGATAAATGAATATTTTCTACGTTTACAGGTTTATATCATGTAAATGGATAGAAGTACAATTTCAATTAACGTTTCTTGCTATTTAAGACTTCACACTTAGATGTATCTACGCCTCAGTGTTGACGCTCACACTGAAAGTTGAATACAGTAACCATCTTTTTAAGTGTAAAAGCTTTATAATAATAGGTTTTGATAGCTACCAACACCTATTTCTAGGTTAATTCACTAATTTATAACAATAAATTAGATTTATAATGTACTACAGTTCAAATAGTGCTTAAATTTTATTTCTCGGAGTTTTCATAACTTAAAGTTTACTTGATCCATTTACATAAAAACAACTTCGTTGCGCTAAAAACTGACTATCAACTTCGAAATTTTTACATTTCGAATTTAAACCTGTTAATTATCGTATCTCTGTTGAACTAAACACATTTTAATGAATTACAGCAGAATACTAATTGCTTATACTTTCTTTAAATCGTCTGAAGCGTTTTTGCCGTATGCGGTAGAATCGATCTACTGAAATATGTAAGAAGGGTAGCGAAGTCGGTATTTAAAAGTTTGGTGTAAAGCACTATTTAACGGAAGATATTTGTACAGACATTTTTGATGAAATTTTGATGAGATCTTTATTTTATTCAATCTAGACAATTTTTTTCAATGTCATATAACCTGCTCAGTATTAACGTATACTTTCACAAGTGAAATCTATAAGTAAGTTGATTAGTAGTAGAGAATGTTTAGCTAAATCTTTAAAATAAGAATTAATGTTTATAAGAATGAAGTAACTAATAAAAATAATACGTTAAGCTAATAAGATCGCTAGCATGGTAGCACTGAGAACCGTTTATTACAAGTTCCTGATGAGTGCTTACCAAGCAGCATTTGATTAGATCATTAGCTGCACCATATGAGTAAACACGTAATTTAGTCGTGTAGAATACAAAACGACTAACTGAGTCCCATGAAGAGAGTTTCGGAGTATACGAACTCACTCCCAGTACTCTGAAGCAGGATCAGCTCCAAATATATGTTGACGGAGAAGTGATGTTGAATTGCTTAAATTTGTTCTCACTACAGCATCAATACATGAGTTAGTATTCCAAGAATGTCCACATTTAGCCCACGGAAGTTCTTTACTGAATGAAGCGAAAATAAAATGAAATGCCCAACCCAGAATCACTGTGTAATAACTGTTCACCAAAAAGTTTATCATAGTGCTAGCACATCCAATACCTGTGAAGTAAAAATAAAAACAGGGAAATTTAGTTGGGCAGTTAATATAAATTGAAGATATTTCTTTAATGGCAAATCAATATCCGGCTTCTTAAATTTTAAACACACATACCTCTAAAAAGTGGACAAATATCCCAGGCTGCAATAGCTCCTTTAGACATAAACTGACCCAAAGCAACTTCAAGAAGAAATAATGGTACACCCGCAACGATCACACTGACGAAGTAAGGTAGAAGAAAGGCTCCTAAATAAAATTCAAAAAGTTCTTTAATATGCATCCTTTGTTAGTTTTAAAAGAGTTTTATTTGAACAAAACAAGGGTGAACGTGTTTTATTTGACAAAGAAAATCATGTCTTTACTTCATTCATCGATGAAGTATTTTTAGTTTGTATATATTATCATAAGATCTTATTTCTCTGAAACATCATCAACTTATTGGCAATAGAGATGTGGGCAGTTGTATTGTTATGAAATTTATCGCATAAATCTGGGAATTCGTATAACGATAACATCATAATATCGTAGTCGTTTTCAAGTTCTAAGTAAATTACTTGAATTATACATTATTTTGTGAGATTTGCAATTGAATATGGACTAACCAGTTTCTCAGAAAAAAAGACTTATGAATGAGATTTTCTTTCAACTCTGACGAATTTGGGACTGTCTTGTTATCATCTCGAAATCACCTTTTTAAAAGATTTTCTTACATAGTAAATATTAATTGATCATGTATTAATTATGTAAGATTATAACCCTCCTTCACGAATGTAGGAATGTCTAAAGCATAGAAATCTTTAAAGAAGCTTTAAAATTACCGCATCATAAATAGAGCATCCTATGATAAAGACATTGATAGATTAGCTCAGATCAACAGATATATTGAAGTTTCCTTTATCAACTTAAAATGATGTTAAAAACAGAATGTATACACCCTGACTCAAAATGTTTTTCATAAATTTCAAACCTTAACTAAATTTATCTTTGGAAATTCAGACAACTCATTAATCATCATATATATTCTCTTGTTCACATAGACCCATAGTATTCTCATGATAATTCATTTTTTTAATATTTTCATCAGGATTTTATGAAATTTATCAACCTGAATCCCTTTATCATCCATCTAGGTAAATGCTAATACATTATTGAATAATCTTAACCAAAGATTAAATGTCCAGTTACTGATGATATGCTTCTATCAATTATTACTTATTTAACAATGTATGTAATAATGATTATGGTGAACAAGTTGTTTGATGTCAGTAATTAGTGTAAATGTTCAACTTCTTATTCTGTTCAATGATTATCACTATAACAATCTAAGCTGCAGCATGATAAGAGGTGTTTTCTTGAATTTCTGCTTTCAGAAAACATAACGACATTATTTTTTTCCAACAATTAAGAAATTTCTTGTGTGAATATCACACAATCAATGTTTAACTGAAAAGAAAAGTGTTAAAAAAAGTGCAGTACACTTCATATGTACACTCTAAATCTACTTTAAATTATGTAAAGTAACAAAATGATCAGATTTGAATATATTTTGGAAAATCTGTACAGTATGTAACACTATTTTACATGTTTTTTCAGAATAATTTACACAGAATCAGTACAAATATATATCAACTTTCGTCTTCAGCCAGTCAGTAACAACGTAGAACTTTGTACGTATGTATATCAGTTCGAGTTGCTATACGACATTAGCACAGAGATACAATTGTCGATTCAAATCCCGTAGTGACAGAGATAGTCAAAGTATAAGCAGTAATCGGAAAGATTAGGGTTTGAAGAGGTTATTCCAGGAGTATAATCCAGTGAAATAAATTTGGAAAGAGGAAAAATGGATATGAAGGAACTTTCGTCTTAATTTGATCGAATAATTTCATAGTATTTTGGGCGTTGAGTATAAAGTCTACAAATGTTTACTTAACATGTTTCAAAGATGTTGTACGATACTTCAGGATGAAATTATATCTACCATGCATTCCCTGTTATTAATACAATTGTATACAGACGATAAATGTTTAGTCTTTATTATATTAAAGTTTAATAAGTCACATGTTAAATCAAGTAAACTTTCTAACTTAAATCACGAATAAGACGATATAATTTTTTATAAATAAAAAATCCACCATGTTCCAATTGAAGGAATGATTGATTCACTAAGTTTCTAAAGCATTTAGTCTAGTCTAAAAGTCCATAAACGTGATATGAACAAGAATGTTTGTAACATTAAAGCCTTTAAGAGCTCTTATTACATTTATATACTTAATAATTCAAACTTTCTTTGCATTATTCATGCCTAATAAATATGTTTTACCTATTTTAAAATGTATTTCTTTTCAAGTTTTTGTTTCTTGTTTTAGTTTGAAAAGCTTGAATCTATTGAGTTACAAAAGCTGTCTAGTTATAAGATACAAATGCAGATTAATATTAATACAGATTTTCTTCAGTTCATTTGTACATTTTAAAATTACAATGAAGATCTCTAATTAGTTACAATTAATAAGGACACGAGTGGGGATGATTGAATTTATTTGACACGAAATAACAGAGCATTTCACTAAAATCTGAGAACCATATAGTAAATAGTTAATTTGCAAAATATCAATCCATCGTTCCAAACTTGACTTTTTATTTTACAATTATCAGTCCATTGTCTCGAATTTCATTCTCTATGCATTTTCATACTAATTGCGTTCTGTTCCGTTTATTCCTTATCGATCTTCTACTGAAATACATTCTATGTCTAACCACCGTTATATACTACTTATGTGGATATAATTAAGCCACACCACACGTTGACTAATTAAATTTATTATTTTAAAAAATATTTGTGAACAAAAATGTTCATAATACAATGAGTACATTGTAAGTTTGAAAATATCTGTCAAATTCAATACAAAATTATTTAGTATAATTTACTACTATGGTACTTGTAGACAGTGATCATTTTAGTTCATCTTAAATAATGTAGGATGTAAAACAAATAGGCGTCTGTTGAAATCACTAAACATTACATCAGTACACAGATAAAGGAACTCAACTATATGACCATTTAAAATGTAGAGAATATAATATCAACAGTAGTAAAAATCAAAACAAAAAGAATATATTTTGTGAAGAACGAATTAAAGTAATAAGATAATGAATGAATTTAAATTCACTATCTGGTTTGTAGCCACATTATGTAATTTCAACTATAGTTTACGGTTATTGATTACACCTTAACGAGGGTCGCGGTATCTTACAATGGTCAGTTACTTTATTCCAATTTATTTAGCACTAACCTCTACTGTACTCAGCATTAATTTTAACGCTACTAGTCCGAAAGGGTACATCAAAAATGAGAAATACTTTCAATTAAGTCATGGTCAAGTACTGAAAAAAGCCTACGCATTCGATAGATGGGTTTTAATCAAGATTTAAAGTTAGAGAATATAGATTTATCTGTTCGTAACTGATAAATTATCGTAGAAACAGACTTCATAAAACTCTATATGCGATAAATCTCTTATTATTACCATAATAATTATGGTATTATTTTACTACTATATTCGACAAACTCACAGTTCCTGAAGCATATAATAACATGATACATAATATTTCTGAGATGTAGTGATTGAATAACATTCAAAGGAATTAAGTTATAGGACCCTATATGAATTGTTTTTAAAATAGATAATCAGTTATTTTTCTAACTTTTAATGAACTATTTAATTCAATTATGAAGTGTTTATTAAAAATGGCAGAATAATAACAACATTCATATTCAGAAAACATCACATGGTAAAGATCTTTTGAAATATTCAAAATGATTTAATTAAAACTATCCAAACGTTTGTAAAATATGTAAATATATTTCAGTGTCATATGGGTTTAACCATTCAGTCTTTTAATTTACTTGTATATAACAGATTTTGCAAATATTTAAAAATATACTGCATTTTTAGTTTACAGTGTTATTATACCTTTAAATTAAAACCTATGAATTTAATAGCATTCCAATTAGCAACCGTTATTGTGGTTTTATTTCCGAAAAACTGAATGAGTGTTAAACTTAACCATATTATCACAATAATTATAAAATATTTTATTAATTTACCTCCACCATTTTTATAGCACAAATAGGGAAATCTCCACACATTACCCAAACCAATAGAAAATCCCATACATGCTATGAGAAAATCAATTTTTCCTTTCCATCGATCACGTTTTGTTATTGTTTGTGATGTTGTTTGTGTTATTGTACTCCATGAAGCAAGATTGCCCAAATTATCTTCTGATTTGAATGATTTACTTGGATCTTCCATATAGTTATTATCAACAGTTAATTTATTTAGTAATTCACACCGAAATAATAATGAAAGCTTTAGGTAATATTTATTCTGTACTGTATATGAGTTTACTACTGAATGGATATTCTAACGCTTTTGATTGCTTGTGATCATCTGGTTGTTAATTGGATTGTTATATGATTGGAGTAAATTTCCAGATAATAGAGACACTTTTAGAAGTTATTTAATTATGTAGCAGTGTAGTAGGTATAATAAACGGTTATCAGATAACAGCTGTTGTTGTTGTTGTAGCAGTAGTAATGGTGAACCCTGAATTATAACAAATTATATCCACAAACTGTTAAAAACCATATTTAAAAATATAATTTTTTATTTATATTCAAATTTTTAAATTGATGAACTTGCCCTTTAATTTATAATAGCCAATCAGTGAACAAGAAAGCTAAAAACAAATAAATGTTCACATACACATTTACAAATTGAACCAATAGTCTTTTTGTGTATAAATAATATTAAATCTTTTCAGCCAATCAATGAGCAGTTAATCGATCATATGACCTTGATTACTTTAAACTACAAAAGAGCACCGAAATCAACTATCATATCCATTCATTGAGGAATTAGTTGATTTGGTACTCGTTTGACAACATTCGAGTGTATAATTTATGCTCTAAGTATTTTAGTTCTTTTTTTCTGTAGAATTATTTATTTAATTATGTAATGATACTGTGTAAAATTAAGAGGAATTTGGCTTGTATTGAACAAGGTAGATTTATCCATTATTTTTAGGTCCATTTGTAGAGAACACGAAAACCAGTGGGGACTAATCGGATGTATTTAACACAAACTTACAGGATTTGTTAATAAAATCTAATAATCAAATAGTAAATACGTAATTTGCAAAATATCCATCAATTGTTTCATAATGACTCATACTTCATTGTTCTTGCATTTTCATACAAATTGCATTCTGTTTCGACTTCTTCTGTTCGATCCTCTTGTCCCTCTGCTGCCAGACATTCTGTTCCTGACTAACAGCATCTACTACTTTTGTCAATATAAGTAGTACATACCACACATTAATTAAATAGTTAAGTCTCTGTGGAATTGTTTGTGGAAATTGTTGTAATTTAATGGTTGGATTCATTAATCGATTAATGCTAGACCACCATGAAAAACCTGGAGGCATTGGACGTCCGTCTCGTCCTAGTACGGGACTCTGTAGCAGTGTGCATCCACAATTCGGCACATGGGACTCGAACTCGGGACCTTCGACCTCGCTCGCAAGTGCTTAACCTCTAGACCATTAATTGACATATAACAGTGTTAATTTCGAACTTCAACCAATCCACAAGATTGTGCCACTGTCCACTATTGTCTTCAGTGTGTAACTGCCTCACAACAGACATGGTTTGATTCTATTGGACACGTTTACTCACTACAACTCCGGGAAACACATGTTGAAGTCAGTCACTAGTGAGCTCATGATAATTATGATCAGAGTGAGAGTTTATGGAAATTTTAGTAATTTAATGGTTAGATTTATGAGTCGATTTAAGCTAGACCACCCTGGAAAATGTTTTAATAGACTTTAAAATTCCTAATAAAATATTAACTAATGTGTTTATATTTTAACTCTTTTGTTCAATTCCACGAATGTATATAACATAACATTTCGCTTCTTCTATCACAATATTTTATTTATTGACACATTTCTTATAGAATGTTTAACCGCTCAATTCGCTAAACACAATGAATACATTTACGATTGAATCGTTCAACTCACTGAAGGCAACGTCTTCAAAAAATGAGGATTTTTAATAAAAAAAATTATGCATAACTATCAGTTTCATTCTACTTTGAACGACTTAGAAATTTATTACACTTTAATTTTCACTAAGTTTAATCATTTTACTTTATCTTCATACTATTCATTAATTCATACATTGATTGATTTATCCTGTTGGACATATGTGAAAAGTATATAATGAATTCAATTCATTGCTAATTCTGTAAGAAAAGAAAAAATATTTTTAAGCTGTTTAACTAGAATTTATACGAATATTCGTCAAGATTAGAATGAATAGTTTAACAGAAATTGGACGCCGAATATAAAGAAGTCATTATATGTTAATATTATACTTGAAATAATCTCAGCGATTGAAATTCAAGGTAATACCCTGAAGACGTTCAGACCAGTTACCTGGACAAAACGTTGGAATTATTTAAATTCCAATCACGGAGATTATTTCAAATATAAGTTGCATCTATAATGTCAAACTAGAAGTTGATAAATAAAATGACGAGACTCTAATTTATGAACCACCTTTGAACAAATCTTAAGTTACCTTGAGAATTATTAGCCAATCAGCAAACAGTCAGAATAGAGTAAAAATATACTATACAAAACCAAAGAAATAAAGTGGATACACGTCTTATACATAGTTCAAATACGCGTCAAGATTAGAAAGAGGTTCTAAAATCGTAATTCATGCAGTAGATGAAATCATCCATATGGATACAGAATAGTCGACCTCTGGAGCCATGATAAAGTCTCAAAAACTCTTTCAGTCTCGACTACATAGGTTCAATATTGTTTGTGTGCATTCCGGTTGTTGAATACACAAAATTCCACCTGTGGATAACGATACGATGCACATAACCAAGCCTATGTAGGAGTCTGTAAGCTCTCCAATCATCCGCATATATTGTCGTACCTGGCTGCAGTCAGTGTTACTGGTGCTTTTATTATCCAGTTCGCAATAATTGTCATAAGTTGTTTTAGTTAGGAATTATATATAGGGTTTTCATTACGAACTGAAATCACCTATAATGCCAGAAATTTATCTAGCCAAATGGATGAAAGACTTTCGCGTTAAAATCCGAGATCTATTATCTTGTACCTGATTGATTCGTCCACAAATTATAGTCTCAACTTTTTATTTGCTATAGCCACTCAATTATCACGTTTTGTACAAAATTCCCTGTAAACCGATCGTAAGTTAGCATTAAACACTGAAGTTGGCGCCCTAACCATGAAATCTCTAAAACGCCTCTAATTGGCTCGTCCATGAATTAGAGTCTCGCCAAAATGATATACATGAAAACATTACTACAATCAATAAAACTAACCCTTATCTTCAAATGAAATGGAGTTCTTTTCATTCTTTTTTGTTTTACTTTGTTTTGTAAACCAGATTAGAAATACCTCACCTTTATATGACATTTTCACTAATTGATCTTTACTAGTATGTACCAAACATTCGTACAGTGATCTATATTATTTTTTAATATCGGTTTCGTAACATTGGAAGAGAATCTAAAAAAACAAAAAATAGACCATTTAAATATTTAACTGTTTTACTATTTTAAGATTAAATTCATTTCTTGTTCTAATTGATTGATGTGCTTCCTTTTACAAAATAAGTTCCTTATAGATAAATCAGTAGTTTTGTGGTGTGTGCTACTTATACTGACATAAGTAGTAGATGATGTTAGTCAGGAACAAAATGTCTGACAGCAGAGAGACAAGAGGATCGAACAGTGAAGAATGGGGACAGAATGCAGTTTGTATGGAAATTCAAGAACAATGAAGTATGAGTCATTATGAGACAATTGATGGACATTTTGCAAATTACGTATTTACTATTTGATTATTAGATTTTATTAACAAATCCTGTAAGTTTGTGTCAAATACATTCGATTGTCTCCACTGGTGTTCTGTTCACTACAGTTTCAACTAATATTCCTATAAAAAGTGCGACATTTGCTATTTTATAAACTACCCTTTTTTTCTCAATCTGCAATACTGATATCATAAAAATGCTAAAACTTTTTTTAAAAATTATATTAAATTATTCCACTCAAATATTAAAACAAAAATATAAGTTGGGTGATAAAATATTTTCAGAAGGGGTTTTGTGGAGATTTTTTAGAAATTTCACTGATTGAAATCATGAGTTGTGAGATATCAACTCACTGAAGACAATGGTGTACGGTGGCGCGACTTCATGGATTGGTTGAAGTTAGACATAAACACCGTTGGACGTTGGCTCAGTGGTCTAGAGGTTAAGCGCCTGGCGCGGGACTTATAGATCCTGGGTTGGAATCTCGCGGGGTGCGGGATCGTGGATGCGCACTCCTGAGGAGTCACACACTAGGACGAAACGGCCGTCTAGTGCTTCCACGTTTTCCATGTTGGTCTAGCTTCAATTGACTCATGATTTCAATCAGTGGTAAAGTATTTCATTTCTTTTAAAGTTAGTTCCTTGTCATGTGAAGAATAAAGTTATTATCAAATAAATGATGGTTAGTCAAATTCATAATATACTTCAATAGTAATCATTAGCAATGTTAGTGGATTCAAATATAAATCTAAAGGTGAAATTACGTAATCGTCTAGGGATAATAGTTCATTATGTAAAATTGAGAGTTAGATAAGTAAATCGGCAAAAAAACGTTTGATGTTGTCTATAAAGTTAATAATATGTAATTAGTAGAACGAGTGTAAAGATGATTCGGTATTCAAATTATTAAGGTGAATAGTTTATGCAAGAATAAAATATAGAAACTAAAATTAAGTAAAAGTGTGAAACTGTGAGAAAAGTAAGAGGTAATAAGTAGAAGAATATTCTAAAGTCATTGACTGTACAAATTTTGTCTGCACACAAAGATTAGGTTAACTGATGTGTGTAAATATACCTTCTGTAGTACTTTAAAGGCGGATTCTAGGAGTAAAGGCCAAGTTCGTATAAATGTGATGACTGGCATCGATTAAATGTAACAAAACTGAGCTTCTTATTGTTTTGTTTTATCCTTTGGTTAATTAAGATAGTGGTATTTAGAAATACAATGAAGTATTCTCTTGATTACAATCAAAGATAATCATTGCTCAGATATTGTAAACCTACGCAAAACAACAACTTAATATCTTCTGATCTTCAGTAATTATCCAGTTAATGTGAGTTTATGGCCACCTTAAAGTTGGATATTATAAAACATTTGAAGAACAAGAC